TTCTGGACAACTCCCCAGGAGATGTTTGGGAGCATTCAGCCACCGCTGATTTGCCCAGAGGGGAAAGCATGACAGGGCAGGCTTCCTTCTCCAAACAGGATCCAGTCAGCCGTGCCAGGCGTTTACACAGCTGAATTCCTCCTCAGCAGTCAGCAGCCATCAGGCTGGGTTCAGTCTGGGGCAGGCACTGCTAGGAGAGCTCCTGGGAGCTGCCTCTCTGCAGGTGGTTGCATGCCACAGTACCTGTAGTGCCATCCCTAGGGTCCCTGTGGTGCCATTCCTGACATCCCCATGGCACTGTCCCTAAGAACCCCATGGTGGGTGAGCAGCATCTGGCTGTGGTGGCACTCCTGGAAAGCCACACATGGCTCTGCCCGCTGTCCCTATGCTTGGAATGGCATGGCTCCTGATTGTCACTCGGTGCAGATGGGCTTTGGACACAAAGGGGACTGCATGGCAGCAGCTCACCTTTCTCCCTAGCAGGTCATCCCTTTCCCAGCTCCCCCGTGCATTTTGCAAGCATGGCTGGGTGCTAGCCAGCTCCTTCCCCAGCAGCTTTGCTCCTTCATGGGATGCTGGCGCTGCCACCAAGGGCTGGATGTGACTCTGGGCACCACAGCAATGGGCCACCCACTGTGGGTTTGTATGGCCACGCTGCTGCCAAGGACACTTGGGGCAAGAAAAATGGTGGCTGCACGGGAAGGGCACTTTGCTGGCCCCAGGACTTTGGTTTCCCAGTGCCTTGGAGCATCTCACAGAATTTAACATTTGTAACCAGGAGCTCACATTGTGTTGTCCCATATTTCCCAAGGTCTCAGCCCAGCTCCTAACAGGTGGAAGATACTTGCAGTGGAATAGGGAACAATGTTGTACCCGTGGTGTGGTGACTGCTGGGCTGTCATTCAGTAACCAGCTGCCCTGTGGCTCTGTTTAATAGCTGCCATTAGGCAGTAAATACTTGTCAGAGGGAGCAAAGGGGCAGCAGAGCTGTGGAGGGGAGCAGGGGTGCGGAAAGGGAACGGGCATGGAGGAACTACTGCGAAAAGGGCTGCATCCAGGAGGCAGAAATAAGGAAGACCTTTGGCAGTGGCTTTGGCAGAGGGTTTGTGCGCTCAGCCTGCACTGAAGGGGAGCACCAGCCCCATGTTCTCACAGTGCTGCCCTGCCTTGGGGGCACCCTGGGCCTCCCCTCAGGCTGACAGATGAGGCTGGAGCCCCACAAGCACCCGGGCCCCTTGCTGAGCCAGCAGACAATGGGATTTGTTTGTGCTTGCTGAAGTGGAAAGGCCCCCACGGCCCCAGTTCAGCAGCACTGCCTGCACATCTCACAGGTCCAGCAGCAGGAAGATGCAGTGGGACAGCGCAGCCCTCTGCCAGTGGTGATGGCATAACCAGGGTCTGCAGTGTAGGATGGGACCTTGGCACACAAGTGAGCATCACTCCTTGAAACGCGGGGCAGGTGTCCCCAGGCAGTGACAGGAGAGCCCTGTCCCTAAGGGACTGGTGAAGGAAGCCTGCAGTGAGTTCAGCAGTGTGAACCGGGGACCTCCAGAGCACCCGGGGCCGCTGCGGTCAGTTGCATTATAACTGATTTCCAGTAGCCTGTAGGGTTTTCCTCCATGTGACCGATTAACACGCTCCTTCTCTGTACACGGCTCTGCTCTACTGCCCTGTCACACGTGTGCAGAACCGGATACAGCCACTAATCTGCTTCCACCCTGCTCCTGCTCTGCCTGCTAATCCTGATGCCTCCCTACTCTGTGGGTACAGCCTTACCGGTGGCTGCAAACTCATGGAGTGCTGCCAGAGGGTTTGGCCCAGAATAGGAGCTGGCTCCTCCCATCTCCGCTGAGCAGCGGACAGAGCAAAGCAGCCATGTGTGCCCCGGGGGCCCGGAGGTGCCCCTGACATGCCTGCTGCATTTGATGGCCCTGCCTCCTGCTAGCAGGCTGCAGGCAATACAGGTGGCTGGGGCTGCTCTCGCTTCTGCAAAAGTCCTTTCTGTAAGAGGAGTGCCCCAACAGCTCCGTGCCCACAGCTGTTCTGCCAGGCATCATCTGGGCACCCCAGAGCCAAAGCAGTCCATCATTCAGTTCCCACTGGGAGTCTGTGGCACGACCCTGTGCTGGCCACTTGATTTGGGGTGGAAAGCATGGATGTGGGATGGGGACAGGACGGCATGCAGCTCCCCACTCCCTGCCTACCCACAGTCTGTGTCCTGGCGCTACTTCAGTTTCTTGTCTGTGGCAAATGAAGGGGAAAGGAGATGGCATCCTGCAGGAAGAGGGGGTGGGTTAAGGAACGTATGGCTGCAGAGCGCTTGCAGAGCTCAGCGTGGGCGCCAAGTGGCAAGGCTCCTTAGGACGTGGAGTGCATACAAATAGTAACTATCTCCTCATGTTCTAAAACTTGCATTTTGCCCAAGAGGTACAAAGAATACTTCTCCAGCTCATGTGATGCATTACTACAGCCTGGAATGAACCTCACGTTTCACTCTCGCCTTCAAAAGCAGCTGTTTGTTTGCCTTCCTGCTTGGATTTGGTTGCTTCAGTAGAAGCAGGGAGTTGCTACAAGGAAAAAAAAAAAAAAAAAAAAAAAAAAAAAGGCAGCTTTGTGCAATGCTTGGCAGCAGACATATCTGAAAGGGGAGCATTTCTCCTCTTTATTCTCCTGTTGAAAACCAGTTGTGGGCACAGCATGCAAATTGGGCTCCAGGTGATGGCGTTGGTCTGCCTGTGGTACACAGCTGAGGTTTGGGAAGGAACACCCCCAAACGAGCAGCACCAGTGGAATCCCATATTCTGTAAGGAAGAGGCTCTGCTGCCTGTCTTCCCTTGGCTCCAACAGCACAATGATCTGCCAGCAGCAGCACTTTGGCAGCACAGTACTCCATGGAGAGGGGAGTGCTGTGATCTTGGCCTTGCTCGGCACTGCTTTGTGCTCCATATGCTGCAGTGCTGTGGTGCAGTTGTAGCGCTGGTACTGGCTGCTGGGTGAGGCACCAGCTGTGCCTGGCCTGGGCAGGAGCGCTTTTCTCAGCTGTTGGCTTCTCCTGGGAGCTGTTATTGTGTGAGCTTGGCAACACCAGAGTTGCTCAGGAGCAGCGCTCTGCACAGGCACTGCACCCAGCCAGGATGGAGCAAGGCATCACGGTCCCACAGCTGGGTGTGCGTTGGCCCATGTGGGTTTGCTCAGCACAGACCTTCATGGAAGGAGGCATCTCCCTCGGTCTGCCCCAAGGCCACATGCTGGGACACCTCCACACATCGCCGCTGCAGCTGGGTGTGCTCTCCTGGAGGCTGCAGCACCCATCCGAGGTGAGAAGCCGGGTGACAGCGCTGTGTCCTGGGACATCCCTGAGCCCAAGGCTGGCTGTTAGTGGGATCTCCCATAGCCCTGAGCCACAGCCCTGGGAATGTGGTGAGGGGCAGAGCAGGGAACTAGGCAACGTGATCCATCACGGGGAGATGGTAAGAGCTGTGCATGCTGCTGCTGGGAGCCTGGGGTGACAGTGCACCCCCACTGCTCTTCCTGCAGAGATGTAATGGAAAATTGGGCTGAGATGTGGTGGTGTTTCTCCTCCTGACAGTATCCGAGAACTTCATCACCACCAGATCCTAGAAGCCCTTGTCTGCAGGGCATTGATTGCCATAGCTTTTAGCTCAGATAGGAGTCTATAAATAACACTAACACTTTATTGATGCTCAAATGCTCACTTGTGCTGCAAGCATGACCCTTCAGCTGGAGGCATAGGGCCCAGATCAGGACAGTATGAAGGCCCCCCCAGATCCCACAGAGCCCACATGGCCCCATAGCTAGCAGTGCAGCAGATCTCAGAGCTGGAGGGGTGATGCTGGGTATCTCAAAGCAGTGCCGCTGCAGCTTCTGCTTTGCTTTTTTCCTCCTCTATGCATTTTGGGGTGATGCTCACCCCCCTTTTTTTTTTCCTTGACTGCTGGGGAGAGCGGGGAGAGAAGAGCAGGGCTGTGCCTTCAGCTCGCCCCAAGTAACACCTTCCCAAGCGGGGCTGCTGGGGAAGGCAGGCCAGGAAAGGCAGCCGCGGGCAGGGATGTGTCATTGCCTGCAAGTCGCCGCAGGAGCTTAATTGCAGATGGGAGCTTTTAAATTTAATTTGGTGTGATACGGATCTCCCGGTGCGCAGCAGCTCCTGCCCTGTTATCCAGCAGTGCTCCGGGCCGCCTGCCCGGTGTGTGTCGTTCAGAAACACAGAGCTGTAACAGATGGCCGATGTTTGCCACCGGGCAGTGGGAGAGGTGCTGCCGAGCAGGGCAGGAGAGAGGGCACCTCCTGAGGGAGACATCGGTGTCACCATTGCCTTTTTCTTAGAGGACTTTTGCTCACACGGAGGTGTTTTGCAGGTCTGGTTTGGAATGAAAGCACGGTGTTTGGCTGTGGTCCTGAGGGGAGACGCGTCGTGTTGAGAGCTTGTGGGGAATCTGCAGGAACACTCGGCAGCGTCTAATTTCCAATTTTAATTTCTAACCCGAGCTGACGGCTGCCTGCAGGGAATGTTCTGTTTGTTAATGCAGAAAGCATTGGGAGCGAGCTCCCAAGCTGCAGTCCCTGCCTGCGGCTGCGTGGTGGGGTGGGAGATGGGAGCGCTGGGAACAGCAGCGCCCTGAAACACCGCACCTGAGACGTGTAACCTTGATACGTGTGCGTACAAAGTACCCTGCTCGGTGAGAATGTACCTTTGCACTTAAGCAAAACTATAGGCTTTGAACGACGGCGGAGAAGGTCTCCACGTCGATCGATTACTGTGGGCTGCGTGAGCCCGCCCGTCCCGGAGCCTATGCCGGACACGCGGGCACCGCGCTACTTCGGGCACGGGGCAAAACCCGACGGGCTTCGCCGCGCATCGCAGCAGCCCCGTGCCGGGGGTGTCCCGCGGGCCTCCGGGGGCGGTGCGAAGGGGGAGGGCCGGCCCACGGAGAGGGCTGGGCGGCGCGGAAAAGCGGCGCGGCGCGGCCCGGCCGTGCGGCGGCACAGAGCAGGGAGCTGCAGGTGGGTGCCGGGGGCGGGCGGCCGGGGCTGTTCTTGTCGCGCGTCCGGGCTCGGGGAAGCTCCGGCGGAGCGGGGACCGCCTGGCTCTGACGGCGGCGCCCGGCCCGGCCCCCGCCCGGCGCGGAAGGCGGCAAAACGGAGAGGAAGAGATTGCTCCGAGCGGGCGGACTGCCGAAACGGTTGGGGCGGCGGGGACTCGGCTCTCAGGGGCGAGGGGGGGAGGGGGACGGCGACGGGGCGAGCACCGCGAGGGATGCTCGGCGCTTTGGCCGCCGCATGGGACGCGGGTTTTTTTCCCTCGCGCGGGACCGCCGAGTACCCTTCCGTAGTTCTCGGCGGCGCAAAGCGCGGAGCGCGCCTGCCGGCGTGCCGGGCCCCGGGCGCGGCTGGGTGCGCCGCGGAGCTCCGCCGGGGCCGTGCCCGTCCTCCCGCGCGGCTCTCCGGGGCCGCCCCGATCTGCGAGAAGGCGCGTCCGGAGCCACGTGCCGCCCGGCCCCACGTGCTGCCTTCCCCCCCTTCCCGCTTGGGAATTCTTCTTGTGGGGCCCCGAGCGGAATTGCCCAGGTGCCGCGCGAGGAGATGCTCGCGGCCGGCCGCGGCGTGCAGCGAGAGGAGCCAACAAGTGTTCCTTTGCGAATCGGGTCTGGTGTAGGAGCGCAGAGAGCCCCATTTGCTCTCTGCCGTGCTGTCCTCCCCACCTCCGCCGTTACTCCCCAGTCTCGGAGACAGGCGGCCGAGCTGCGGTGCTGTGGAAAGAGGCGGAGGCTGAGCCCAAGGGCTGTGGGATCTCACACAAGCGAGCCTGTATCCTTCAGCCCAGAGCATTCCCAGGGCTGAAAGGCAGGAGGGATTCGTGCAGCTGCTGGCCACAGCTGGATGCGCTTCCTCGCTGCTGCGAAGCAGGAAGCAGCTGGGATGCCCCGCAGTTGCCTGTGGCGAACGGATACAATTGAGAGGACTTTTGTGGATGCTGCTATGGGAAATCCCACTCCCCTGCAGCAGAGCATCCCAGCCTGGCGGCAGTGTTTCCGCTCCCAGCTCCTGTGGGCTGCCGGCCTGCCTCGTGCTCCTTTGGATCTGCTCCAGTCTGCAGAGCTAACTCGGGGTGTGATGGCACAGTGTGCTTTTCTCTCTGGTTGTGCAGCTGTCTGAGAGCTGTTCGGTACAGCAGCAATGCACACATCACACCTGCATCCTCCTGAGTGCTGCTGCTGCCTTTTGCTTCCAGGTTGGCTTGCTCTCAGGTCACTGAGAAAATGCTGAAGAGCTGTGCCAGGTACCCAGAGTGAGGAGGAAGGGAGATGAGGATGAAGCTTACTGCATCCTGGCCCAGCAAATGGACCTGGTTCTTGGGGTAGAAGGACACTTCCATCCTTCAGTTGTTACTCCCTGCACTGCATGATTAAACGCCGGCATCGTTTCCCCATCGTGGCATCCCTGCTCTCATTATCTCAGGGTGAGATGTTGTTAATGAGCCTCCTCCTCTTTGAAGCTAAGCCACAGGCTTTGTTTCTGCCCTGCTGTGACCTTCCTGTGGGCCGGGAGGAAACCAGGGTGCAGAGCACAAGGCACCTGCTTGCCCGTGGCTGCTGCCCTCACTGACCTGTTCCATTCGGTTCCTGGGCTGGGACAGGGCTCACAGTGGCCATACAGTGACAGGGCACTGGGAGCAGCCACCTCCCCTGGCCAGGTGGCACGGCCCTAAGCAGGGCCTTTGGGAGGCTGGCAAGCACCCCTCCGGTGTTTTTCTGGGATGAACGCTCACCTCAGTTGTTTCTCATCCAGCGTAACAGCCAAGACCTTGGGAATTGTTAGGGAAACTGCAAAACGCATTCTTTACTGTCAGCTGAGCACTGTTTGCTTGCTTTTGTTGCTAATTTAATCTGATCCCAGAGTGCAAACTCCACCGACCTCTGCACATCTTCCTGAGCACCCCCAGCACCAAGCTCTTCCCACTGACATCTATACCAGCCTGTTGCTGTTCCTGCTGGTGCTGCTGCTGTGCAGGGTAGGGAGCAGCCACTAGGTCAGTGTTGAGCAGGCAATCTCACTGCCCGCTGGGTCACCGCAAAGCAGCCAGCAGGAAGCCCGGCTGATTGCTGCAGTTTTGCCTTCTTCCCATCAGTGCCGCTGGGATTTGTTATAGTTCATTTCCTTTAGGATTTGCCTGATGGGAAAGCACCTCGCTGTGAAGTTTCCAGTGCTGGCATCAACAGCTGGAAATGCACTCAGCAAGCAGTCTGTGGAGCCTCGAGGAGAGGCACGTGGCAAGGAGCAGGATAACTGGGGCAGATGGGCTGAAGCAGAGGTGGTATGCACTGCTCAGTTTGGCAGGGTTGCAGTACCCTGCAGACTTCTGCTACTGCATGAATGCAGTGAGGACTTCAGGGTGTGCAGCTTGGTCTGAGGGTTTTTTTGGGGAAACCGTGGGGATTGTTCCAGGGGAACGGGTGGTGACCATGGCTGGGAGCTTAGGGTTGTGGGAGCAGAGTGCTGTGCTGTGCTGAGGGCTGTGCAGTCTCAGACAGTTGGGCCCTGCAGCTGTGCAGTGCTTGTAGATGTTGCGTTGGTTGGTTCCTTGCACCATCCTGCCGAGAAGGGCTGCATTACCCACAGCTGTGGGAGGCTGTGCTCTAGCTGCAGCTGAACAGAGCTATTAGGAAGCAATCCATCCTCCCCTGCAGCTCCTCCTTCCCCTTCATACACCCTCACCAGCCTTCCCAGCAGCAGGTCTCACAGCTGCCCTCATTCCCCCCTGCTCCCCACATTAACACTGAGGAGGCTCAGAGGCGGGCACTGTACTGTGAGCCAACACCAGACATAACATTCTGTCTGCAATAATGTATTTCTAAGCGCTGTTCCCCCATGAGCAACATCAGGGCTGGCCACAGGCTGGGCATGGTGCCCCCGAGGATGTTCGTGGTGCAGCCGGGCTGCGGTGTGCCGGGCAGCAGCTGCCTGCAGGGATGTGGCAGCAACCAGAGGGGCTGTGCCCTGCCCGTCCCTGTCTTGTGCCTGTGTTTATTCCTGCTGCTCATGGGAGAGAGCCTGAGGTGCTGCTTTTCTGGGATTTGGGCAGAGGTAGGAGGGAGCTGCCCACCACCCTGCTCTGCCCCACTGGCATAAAGGCTTTCCTGTCCCACAGCTGAGTGGGAGGTTTATTCTCTGACTTATTTCCTCCAGAGCGTGTGTCTGCCTTGAGCCAGCGATGCTCTGGCTGCACATTGCCCTCACTCTTGTGGAAATGGCTGTGCCACTGTTGTGTCCCCATCCATCACAAAATGGCAGCAAGCAGCTGAGGTTGGCTTAGGCTGTGCAAAGCGCTGTGGCCCTATGAGGAGTGAGCTGATCCCTGGTAGCTGGCAGCTGCATTGCGTGGGCTGCAGCGGCTGCCAAACCTGCTTTCCTGCCTGGCATCCCATTTCCAGCAGGGCTGCAGGCGTTGGGTGCCAAACGCAGCGGTCAGCCAAGGCACCCAAAATAACATAAGTATTTCTGTCCTGCGGCAAGGAAGGGAGCCTCTCCCCTGCCCGTTCCACTGCCCTGCAGGCTGCCCAAGGCCAGGTGGCCTCTTGAGTCCTGCTCATGGTCTTGCTGGTAGGTGTAGCCCTACAGCCCCAGGAGGAGGAGCTGTGTGGCTCACCCTCCCCGTTCCTGAGCCCTGGGCTCCCTCTTGACCCAGCCTGTCTGGGTTTCGTGCCTGGCCTTCACCCTTATCTCCAGACCCATCTGGCTGCGTGTGTTTGCCTCACCCCTGTTGCCACATGCTTCCTCCTTGGGGCTCTCCCCTCTGCTCTGGGGGTGCCTGTGGAGCAGATCCAAGCATGGCCCATGGGGAGGCAGCCGTATAGTGGTGCAGCTGGGGCAACTCTGCCCTGCTTGGTGGCTGTCCTGGTGGCGGTGGTCTGTGTCACTGCTGCATTAATCACAGCAAGGAGGACCCACTCCAACCTGGGGCTGCACCTTATGCTCCCGGCTGATTTTTACATTACTGGCATCCTGCCCTTCATCCCAGGGGTCCCATTGGGTTTTCTTGATTGGGGAACGGAAACTCGGCTTCCTCTCATTGTGCCTCTTCCTGCCACAGCCCTGGGATGACCCCTTTGCCCCAATATCCCCCCAGAGCCCATGGGGTTGTTGGCTGCAGAAGAGACAGGAGGTGATGTGGGGCAATGTGCCCACTGCACCACGTCTTCTCCTTAGTGCTGTGGTTGTGTGGTGGGAGCTTTATGCGGCCCTTGCCTCCATTTGCCCTTCCCTCCCCACCCATGCAGCCCCTCTGAGGACTGCCTGGGAGCCCCAGAGATGGTTCACCATAGACTCTGCTCTTTGTTGGTTTCCGCAGATGCGTTGAATGGAGCCCTGAGCAAATTCCTTTCTCCACCCTGGGGAGAAAAGGGCTTTATTCATCTCATTTTCCAACCCAACCCTGGAAAACTATGACCTCTTCCCAAGCCTTCCACAAGGCGCCGTGTTGTGGAGTGAGTGCCCTTCTCCTCTGGGAGCTGCTGGTGCCAGCATACGTCTCACTGGTCTGCCTCAGGGAAGGCACTGCTGGTCTGTGCATTCAGAAGCCAGTGCTGCAGTCAGCTGTCAGCTTTTTGCCTCTGCCTTCTCTCTGTGTCCCGCCATGAGCAGGGCGGCAGAAAGCCCTCGGGGCCTTGGCCCCATCCTGGTGTGAGGGGGTGCTGCCTGGAAGCTGTCTGGAAGGGACCTGCCAGTTCCTGGCTGCAGATGTTCTCCTGAGAGTGGCTTATCTCTGCCTCTCTGACATCGGCTCTATCTGGGAGCTCCCTCTCCCTGCGCAGAAATGACGTGGTGCCTTCCATCTCCTTCCCCCCCCAGGCCCTCTATCTCCCCTCCCATCTTCAAAGTGCTGCCCTTGGAGCCAACGCCTGCTCAGAGCTTTGCGGGGCTTTACCAGAGTCCTGGAGCTAGCAGGATCCAGGGGCGAGGCCCAGCCTGCCTTCCTGGTAAGTATCTCACTGGAATTAAAGCTCCCACCGTGGGCTATGGGGGGATGGTCAGTGACCCTGCTTTGGGAAGCTGCTCTTGCTGGGATGCCAAGCGGCGGCGCCCATCTCTGCTGTGGGGCTGCTTGAGTGCCAGGAGCAATTCACTGGCTGATGAACAGGCATTGGGGTGTGCTGAAGGGTCAGGTGTGTGCAATCTGTCAGGACTGCTCTGCTCGGGCCTCCCTCCTGCTGCTTGCCTTGTGTTGCTCCCTGTGCTCAGCCAGCTCTGTGGCAGAGTTGGAAACGCACTTGGCATCCAGAGCGGGGACGTGGGGACTCTGGTTGTGGGGATCCGCTGCCAGGAAGAGGAATTTATGGGCAACAGTGACCATGCATGCAGTCACCGAGGTGCTGCTGATGGCAGGTGAGCGACCTGACGCCAAGCATGTCACAGGGGTATAATTGGCATGCTGAGGACAAAGTGTGCTTTGCCTGTCAAATTAAACACATAAATGGAGGGTGTGAGAAGAGCCCTCCTTTCCGGCTTAATTTACGCACATGCCTGGGTGGCTGTACCTGACAGAGGCCCCTGGGAACTGCTTGAGGCTCCTTGAGCCGCCCTGATAAGGGACTGCAGGCAGCTGCTGCATGTGACTCAAAACATACAGCAGCACTGGATGCCCCCCGCCTCCGTGCTGCACCCGGCAGCTGAGATAACAGCCCCGTGTGTTGGCAGCGAGGATATCCAACCTATCTCCTGCCCAGTGAGGAGGCAGTGGGGATCCTGGGCTGCAGGCTCAGGGAGAGCAGCCTTCCCTTCTCCCAGCAGGCGGAGGAGGTAGGGTGAAGTGAGCTCCAGGCTGACATGGTGTCTGGAGCTGGGATGCTTCCCTGGAAAATGCTGAGGGGTAACAACTGTGTACCATGCATGGCCCTCAGTGGGGCTGCAGAAGTACTTTCTGCCTTGTGATGTAGAGGGGAGGGGGAAAATGTGATGCTGGTTTCTAAGAAGGGCTGGTAAGAACTTCGGGGAAAAACGGGCTGGTAATGCTGTTTGTGCTGCCTGCCACAGCAGCCCAGTAAGCCCCTGAGTACACAGCTTTGCAGAACACATTCAGGTCTTTCAGCCCAGGTTTTAGGGAGGGAAGGTCTTCACATGGCTCAAACATTGGTGAAAAACAGGAAGCAGGGCGTAGGAGTAAGTGGTCAGTTTCTGCGGTAGAAGGAGATCACTGTGTTCAGTCCCATGCTTTTTCAGCAGTCATGAGTGACCTGGAAAAGGGAATGAGCAGTGAGCTGACAGAGTTTGCCTGATGCTATCGAATTACTCAGGTTCGTGGGGACAAATGCCAGCTACAGAGAGCACAGAGGAGCGTTACAACAGCAGGCAGCAGGAGGATGAAATTCAGTTTAGATAAGTATCGAATGATATGCAAAGGGAAGTAATCGTCCCAAATCTGCAGACAAGGTTACGCCCTGAGCTGACCACTCGCAGCAAGACCTGGGGTTATTTCATATAGCTCTGTGGGCAGCCAGGGTCATAAAAACACGTCGACTCCCTGAAGAAGAGCCTCTGTCACTCCTCGTGAGCGACAAAGCAGAAACAAAGCAAGAGAGCCTTGTGCCATCGCCCCAGTCCACCGCTCCTATTGTGGCCCCACCATCTCCAAAAGGATCTGGGAAAAGATTTGGAGAAAAGCAGCAAGGAGGATCAAAGGCACAGAGCTGTTTCCCTATGACTAAGTGAGCTAGAATTTCTCTGTTTGGAAAACATGATGTAGGGTGGCTGGGATCCGCGCCTGGAGAGAGCCTGGAGAGTCATGGCTGGCATGAAAAAGGGGTCCGATGCGTGTCTAGTGTGAATCAAGAGCAGGAGCTAGCAGAGCTGCCCGTAGCAATGCTGTGCCATGGGGGAGGTTTTTTGCCACAGGGTGCTGAAGGGCTCCCAGATTGCAAAGGAAGTAGAAAAGCTCACGAAGTGAAACCTTCTGTGGGTTATGAAACATAGAACAAGCTGAGGAGCGGAACTGCTTGGAGATGGGAGAGCAGTCAGGGTGTTGTTGTCCATGCCTGTGCTGCTCTCATACTTAATCGGTGCTGACTTCAGCCCTGTGTTGGACTCTGGTTTGCCACAAGGCATGGCCCCCACTTTGAGTTGGTCCTGGTCCAGTGAGACAGGCAGCCATGCAGATCTGCCTCTTGGGAAAGGCAGCAGGCGTGCTCACAGCCAGCGGTGGAGGTACGTCGGATGGTAACTACAAATGAAGAGACTAGACTGGCATGGCCAGAGCAAGGTAGGGGAGCCTACATGTTACAGTAAATTGGTCGATGAGGAAACTCACTCAGACTCAAGTTGGAGTGTTAGAAAGCAGGCATTCATTATTCTCAGCTCTGGATGTACAAGGGGATCTGGCTGGAGGTGGAATCTTGAAGCTGAATCCCAGCCACCAGAGTTTCATGTGACTTGCACATGTTTGTCAGGACTGCTCCCTGCCTGCAGGCAAACCCCGCTGGCCCCAGAATGGGCTATAAGCCTGGGGAGGCATCTGGCCCTGCCCTGCCTTGGTGGCACCAGTAGGAACTGTTGATCACATCCCTGCAAAGCGAGTAGCAGCAGGAGGGTGCTGAGGTGCTTGCAGCTTGCCTGCATGTAGCCCCTTCACTAAGGATGGCGAAGGTGGCAGAAAGGGCTTGGCTTTAACAAGCTGGAGGAGACCCATTGTATCCCTACCACCGCCATGGAACTGCTCCACCACAGGAAGCCGGACATATTCTCTGCTTTCCGTCAGCCAGGCAGCAGAGCAGGAGAAGGGCGATGCGTGAGAAAGGAAATCTCCAGAGCTGGGTGACAAACTACTGCCTGCAGGCGTGGCTGTCCTGCAGTGCCAGTTTTTCTGCAGAGGTTGGGCGTTTTGTGCCATGGCTGTCCCTGCTGTGGGTTCTCGGGCATTGGCCCAACAGTAGGTGTCACGCAGCATGTGCCTGAGCCTTTGTGCTGAGTAAACAGGCAATTACAATTGGGCTCTCCATTGTTTGAATGTGGTCAAAGGGGACAGCTGCTGTTTGCTTAGCAGTTCGTGCTCTTTTCTTGCTCCTTCCGTTCACACATCACTTCCACACTTGCAATGAACTGCTCTGTGCCTGGGAGTAAGCGGATGTCCACACGCAGAGGCCTTGAACTGCTCCTCCTTTCCCATGCCCTCGTGGCAGGGCAGATGGCTGAGGTCCTTGGAGGTGCTGGGGGCTGAGGATGCACGGAGCACCATCCCTGGTCTGTTATCACGGGGTTGCTCTGGATTTGTGATTGTAGAGCTGCTCTCACCTGGTTGGAGCACCGTTGCCACCTGTTGCTTGTGTTGGTTTGTTTGATCTTTTCTGTTTACTATAGTGTTGTTTGTAAGAGCTGGCAGCTGGACGTGTTTCCAGCCGTAATGAGCACTGACCCGCATGCCCCTTGGCACGGATTGTCTCTTAGTGGAAAAAAATTAGAAGGCATTTAGCAAAGTGAGACAGAAAACAAACAAAGCTGGTAGGAGGCTGCGGCAGGGCATTGCTGCCAAGGAGGCCGGGCTGTTGATGAAGCACGGAAGCAGGTGGCGGTGGAAAAGACAGCACCAGGGAAGCACTCCTCAAACCCCAGTCCTGTCCTGCTGGCTCCTGCCTGCTGCTCCAGCACTGTTATGCCCTGCATGCTGCTGGCTGCACGCCGGCTGTGGTACCTGACACCTCTCCCCCCGCCTCCTCTGCAGATGCTGTCAGGGGCACGTGGCTCTGGCCCCTGTGACCTGAGCACTCCTGAAAAATGGTGGGGCTGGGGAAGATGGGGGGAAGGCACTGCTTTCAAATTCACTGGGCATAGGGTGGGATCAGTGATTAGGGCTTGCCCTGGCACCGGCCTTTGCGCTTGTGTCTGCGGCAGAGCTCCCTTCTCTGCTCCTCAGGACAGCACTGTCACCCCAGGGAAGATGGGGGGTGGTCTGGGAGTAGAGCTGGGGCCTTGTGTGGGTGAGGGGCGGCCTGCTGAGGGCTGCAGGGTGCGCTGGAGCTTTCCACCTGTTTCTCAGGGACAAGTGGCCCCGGCGGTATTTCTTCCTATGGGGATGACAGTCACGCTCGCAGGCCCCCTGCTAATCCAGTGCCAGGGAGCAGGCTGCCTCCTGCCTGCAGGGATGCTGGCAGGCTGCCAGGAGGGGATTTTCAGGAGGGGATTTTACTGCACTTTCTCTGGAAGCATTGGTGGCTCACAAGGGCAAACGGGAGCTGTCTCAGTCTACATGGGAAGACAGGAAGCCGTGCTGCATCAGGCTGCTGGGACTGTGGGTACGCTCTGCTGCCATGCCATGCACAACCTGCAGGACTGCACTACCCCTTGCCACCTTCCTCAGCAAGGCAGTTGATATGAAGGATGTGAGCCGTGCCTGGAAGCACACGCGCTCCTCCGTTGCCTTTAATGTGGGCTGAGCCTTGCTCGAACTACAGATCCCAGCATGCTGCTTTCTGCCGGCCCCGTGGCCGTCCTACCTGGCAGGCAGGCTGCTGCTGGCAGGCAGGGATGCTGCAGCCCACAGCCGCGCAGGAGAGGAGGGAGGCCCAGCAGGCGGCTGAGGGAGGGCACGGTGCGGGAGGTTGAGCACGTGGAGCCCTGCTGCAATTGCTTGGAGAAGTGGATGAATGCCCCATGCTGCGCTGTCCTGAGGGGAAAACAACGAGCCAGGCCTGTGGCTTCTGCGGGGGGCTGATTCTGCTATGCCTGAGGGGTAGGGAGGGGGCCGAGGGATGGGGTCTGGATCAGGGGCCCCGGGGCTGTGTCTGTAAGGGCGGATGCTTATGGGGAAAGCACTGCTGAGTGGCAGCAGGGGCCGGGCCCAGAGCAGGGGGTGCTGAGAGGGAGTGAGCAGTGCCTGGGGTGCCCTTGGCTTTCCTAGGAAGGGCTGCTAGAGCCTCACGGAAGGAGTACGTGGAAAAGAAGGGTTTGTGTGTTTCTGACCTGAGAAACCACTGGATAAAACGTGTCCTTTGTTCCTCTGTACCCCCAAGGACGTGGGGAGGGCAGGGGGGAAGGACACAGCCCATTGCGTGTATGCTTCGGTCACAGCCTGAGGATTGAGGGCAGAGTCACAGGCTTACAAATCCTTTAAGATCCTGCAGTGGAGTGGCAGGTGGCTGGAGTGGAGCAGCACGGGCATGTCATGGGGGCAGGTTTCCTTTTGGAACGACAGGCTCGGCGTCCCCTGAGCAGCAGTGTAAAGCCCTGTGTCACAACCCCTCAGCTAAGGGCTCTGAGCCATAGTTCTCCCAAGCTGCTGAGCAATGCTATTGCTGTTTCCTGACGCTGTGTAGTCCCGCAGAGTCAACCAGGCCATCAGGTTAAAGCCAATGCTGCCCCTGCTTGGCCTCATTCCCTCGTAAAGCCCTCTGTTTGCTTTCCAGAGAGCCACCACAAGACTTGCTGGGACCCGTGCTGACCCTCACCACGCACAATGACAACAAGAGATGGACCACAGGACAGGTAATGCCAGGCTGTGGGGTGGGGGTACATTCAAGATACTGGGAAATCTGGGATAACGTGGGGCTCAGCACCTGGGGGCTTGGGGCACTAAATCTCACTGCTAGCCCTATGGATGTGTGCTCTCTGGCCAGGCAAGGAGCAGCTACTCCACCTCTGGCTGTGGAACCCATTCCCTAAGATGCACTATCAATTTTTCCAAAACAAATGGGCTGTAAACAGTCCCTAGCGTTGGGACATGGCCCCGCTGTTCCTGGCTGGCGAGGTTCCCTCCCAGCTCTGGCAAGGGTCTCTGCGTGGCTGGGTGCCACATGTGGGGAGTGTCCTCTGCCTTCACAGCTTTCTGGAAACCCCCCCTTGGTCACATTCACTCAAAAGAGTCCAGGCCAGAGACAGGATAACAGATGTTTTTTGCCGTCCTTTATCAAGAATCTCCTCTGCTTATTAAGAGCACTGGACCCACAGATGATGCCAGATTGTGTATTTCATCCTCCCTTCTTTGCCTGGTGCCTTTCACAGTGGGCTTGGAGACAGCCAGAAGTGACGCCTGTCCCCTGCCCTGCCTGTCGTCCTGCTCCACACTTCTCTGCCTCCTTTGCAGGTACAAGGCTGTCTGGTTGATCTTCTTCATCCTCGGCCTGGGAACGCTGCTGCCATGGAATTTCTTCATGACTGCCAGGCAGGTGAGGGCTTGCCCTGGCACTGATCACCTTGTGCCACCTCTGAGCACCAGGCAGGAGGCAGAAGTGTGGGTGATTTGCATGGGATGCCTGGCACTGAGGTGGCAGGAGGGGTCCTGGGCTGGGTGTGGGGCTTGAAAGGGCTTACGGGTGACCTCTCTTGGAGGACCTCAGCTCCACCTGCTTCCTTTCCTTGCAGTATTTCATCGACCGCTTGGCAGACCCACAGAACACAAGCTGCCTCTCAAACCAGACCAGCATGGGCACTGCCTCAGAACTCTCCTACCTGCAGTCTATGTTTGACAACTTCATGACTCTCTGCTCCATGGTGCCCCTCCTCATCTTCACCTGCCTCAACTCCTTCATCCATCAGCGGTGAGCCCTGCCCTATCCTTGCTCTTGCCAGCTCCCACATCCTGACTCGACACTGTGCCAAGCCATTCAGTCCAAAGGCAAAGCTTGGTTCTCCTGTGCTGTGGTTTGGCTGCAACTACTGCAAGAGAATTTTGCAGACCTCTAGGTGCTGGGCTGTCCTCACCCACACCATCCTCTCTTGCAGGATTCCCCAGCAGATCCGCATCTCGGGCAGCCTGGTGGCCATTGGGCTGGTGTTCTTAATCACTGCAATTATGGTGAAGGTCACCATGGAGCCTCTTCCCTTTTTTGTCTTCACCATGATCAGCATTGTCTTCATCAACTGTGAGTAAGGCGTTGGGAAAGAGCCCAAGGAAAAGAGGAGGTTGGGCACCCTCCCTGGTCCTACAGGGCTGTGACACTGGCTCCCCACAGAGGTGCAGCCCATCCTTGCCTTTGGTTTCTCATCTCTGCTTATCTTTCCCTTTGCAGCCTTTGGCGCCATGCTGCAGGGCAGCCTCTTTGGTCTGGCCGGCCTCCTGCCTGCCAGCTACACAGCTCCCATCATGAGTGGGCAGGGCTTGGCAGGCATCTTCGCAGCTTTGGCAATGATAATCAGTATCAGCAGTAAGTAATCCCCACCCTGCAGATGACAATGCATTACTGTCAACAGGGGGCAGTGGGGTCATGCTGGACCCTCTTGGTGTGGGAGATGGCAGCAGGGCCTCACTCCTCTTGCCTCTCTTCATCCTCCTCCTTTTCCTCCATGTCTCCTCTCTTCCTGTGCTCCCAGTTGGTGCTCAGCAACCAGAGAGTTACATTGGTTACTTCACCACGGCTTGTGTGGCAATTCTGCTGGCTGTCGTCTCCTACATCCTTCTACCTCGCATGGTAAGACTTTATTTTTAGTGGGGAAGAGCATGAGGAAATGAGACCTTTGCACATCCCAGCACAAGAATCTTGGTCCAATAGCGCCACAGCTTCTGTCAGCCTCCACCTCCTGTGTCAGGGCAGGACACCCAGTGTCCCAAAGCAGCTCTCTGTGGTACTTCTCACCTCACATACCTGTGGTATCCTTAGGATAATGTGGAAGTGAGCCTCTGAATGAGCAGGAGAAGCATATATATCAGACACAAGTGGAAGGAATACTTTGTCCATCTTGCACTGTTTGCCATTATCAACACAGTCTCAGGTGCCGGTTCCCTGGCAGCCTTTTTTCTTCACACTTGACTGAGTTCTCTGTGGTTGTGTATCTGCAGGATTTCTTCCGGTACTACTCCATGAAGGACAAGACAGAGTACCGTGTGTACAACGCAGAGCTGGAGACCAAGAGAGACCTGATTAAGAAAGGTGAGGGGCTGAGAGGAGAAGAACAAAGGAAGAAGAGCTGAGGGGAAGACTGAGACAGGACTAAATTAGATCCCTGCTTTGTGGGGTCTGTTATGCCCTGTGTTTGTTTTTCCCTGCAGATGAGCCCAACGGGATGGAGCAGAATAACTCAAAGATCATCCCTGTCCACAACCCGGATGAGAAGCCCTCGGTCATCTCCATTTTTAAGAAGGTCTGTGAGTTGGCAGCATCCCCTGTGCTTCTCCTTGTGTCAGGGTATGAACACAGGTGCAGGAAGGCATGGGGAGAGAAGACCACCCCTGCACTGGTCTCTTGCCCTGTGTTTGGTACCAGCCTCTTTCTTTTATCTTCCCAGCTCTGGGTCATGGCAGTGTCTGTCTGCTTAGTCTTCACCGTCACCATTGGGGTCTTTCCTTCCATCACAGCTAAGGTATCCACTACCCTTGGAAAGGAAAACAAATGGGGTAAGTGAAGCCAGGTGTGTGGTGGGCTAGGAGGAAACTGGAAACAAGCTAAATGGGAGGAAAGAAAGTGGGGCTTGAAGTAGTAGGGGTGCCTGAGGGAAAGGGAAGACCATTGTGCATGAAGGTTTGGATGCAGACACCAGTCTGGCTTGGAAGAGCATCCCAGCTCTTAGTGGGAAACTAGGAGGACCCTAGACCTGAAGGAGAGTCTCTGTGCAATCAGCTGGAGGGCCCAGGGCATCCTGGGCTTGTCAGTGACCTTCTTCCCCTCCTGCAGATCTCTACTTCATCTCAGTCTCCTGCTTCCTGATATTTAATGTCTTTGACTGGACGGGACGGAGTCTGACTGCTCTCTTCACATGGGTAAGCTGGCGGCAGGAAGCACTCTCCATCCCCATACCCTTTGACCATGGTTCTCACTGGGGCTGCCATCCGTGGCTTGGAGGAGGAAGTAGGCACAGAGCTGACTCCTGCTCTGGCTGTAAGCCCTAAGCAGAGATTTAGAGGGTTACAGAAAGGGTTAGAGCTGAAAGCCACAGTATCATCCTGTTCTCCTCCCAGGCTTCTTTCAGCGTGGTTTGGATGAAGCTGTCTTCTCTATTTCAGCCTTTGTAAACAAACCTTCACTGCAGCTATGCAAACAGCCAGGCAGGATGGCGGCAGTGAAAGAGGGTGAAAGACGGGGCAGCTTGAAATAAAACCTCTGGCCTCCGCACAGTACACAGCTGCTTTAAAGAGCATTATCCTGGCAGCAGAGCAGAACCACACCATGCAGATCATGGAATTATCCCCTCCCATGCCCTGGTCCCTTGCTCTCATCTCGCTGTGCCTTGGGCTGAGCGGTGGGAGTCATGATGGCAGTGAGGAAGGGGTCTGTCTGTGTCTCTTCCTGCCCCTTGCCCACCCCCCAAGCGCTGTTTCCCCTGTATTGTTCAGGTTGTTTGTTTAGAGAAGTTCCTCACAGCAGCATGCAATGCAGGGTCTGTCCGGCCCTGGCTGTGCTGGGCTGCCCTGCTGCCTAGAGCTGCTTCTCCCCTGGCTATGGCTGCTGGCTGCCCCCAGCCTTGGCTGCAAGCTGCCTTGACTGGTGTCCAGGCCACAGCCCTAGTGGTGTGATGACCCAGCAGGGGACATTTCCAAAACAGCACTGGGTGGAAAGTCTGACTGTGGTTTGTGCCTCATTTCCCTGGTTGGGGCCCTGCTCTGCAAGGAAAACATCTTGCTGCTCTCGCTGGTTTTCCCACAGACACAACAGTTGGCATCATCTTTGCCATGTGTTCATGAAGTGTCCCATGGCTTTGCCAGCCAAGGAGGGCTGCCACCTCCAGGGCAGCTGGGGGCTTACTCTCACTTCAGACCACAGAGTCTTGTCATCATTTTCTCGCTGAGAGGATTCGGGAGAGAGCCAGGCACATCTTGTACCAGGGACTGCCTTCATCATAGCTGCACAACAGCATGGGGACAGTGCCTCTTGCTTTGTCCCAGCTTTGCGCATCCAAAAACTCTGTTGGGATTTGGGGAGGCCATAACTCAATCCATGCCTTTCCCAGCACTGTCCAAAACAGTCCAAGCATAATCCCTTTCCCAGATTGCTGGATCTCGCCCCACTTGGCTGGGGGATGGCGTGGGAGGTTGGAGAGCTGTTTAAAGCCCAGTTTGCAGGCCATGGGGTGCCAGAGGCGATTCACCTCAGTTGGCCTTGGCCTGTGCAATGGTTTGCAGCAGGAAGAGGTTGCGTGTGTGTGCATAAGGCTGTCCTCACTCCCTGTTGTTTGCAGAAGGGGCTTAGCAGTTGATCCCAGACTCAGCTCTGTATTTTGGCTCTAGCACTGCTGCTCTCCAAGTCAGCTAAGGACGGGATTTGCAGGGCAGTGGCCAGTTGTGGTGGGACTGGTGGCCTGTCCATCTCCTCTGCACGCTGACTTCCTCACCACGAGTCCTGCACCCGGTCCCAGAGCAGCAGCTGAGCAGGGGGTGCTTTCCAGTCTGATGCAGCCCAAGAGAGGTAGGGAAGGAACAAGCAGGATCAAACTTCTCCATCTTTTCACCCTGGGGAGGGAATGTTTCCCACTCACAGCTATGCTAACAAATCTGAACAGTCCCTGTTGTTTTTCCTTTCTTTCTGAGGGACAAGAGCACACTAAGTGGGCATTCTCTTCTGGGGAACGGCCAGGTACTGGGTGAATATCTGGCTTGAGGAGAGAGTAACAGACTAATGAGTACAACCAGGGCTGGGAATACAGAGGGCAGAGCACTCTCAGCCTCAAATAGCTATTACAGATGCAGGGAGAAACCTTGGAGCTGCATGCAGCAGGCTGCAGGAGCAGGACAGTGGATGCCAGAGGATGGCAGGCAGAAGCTGTGGGTCTGGGAGCCCTGCACAGAGGGGCTCAGGAGCTACCCTGATCTGCCCCTTGTATCACTTGGTGATGTTGGAATTTGTTGCAGCAGAAAAAGTCCTGCAGAAGAGGGACAGCCTCTTTATAGCCCTTGCTGGCACGCCGGAGGATAGGGAACGCCCACTTCTCAGCTACACTCTGTGTCTCTCTCCTAGCCCGGGAAGGACAGCTGCCTCTTGCCGGTGATGGTGGTCTTACGTGTCATCTTCATCCCCCTTTTCATGCTGTGCAATGTGCAACCCCGAAACCACCTGCCCGTCATATTCTCTCACGATGCCTGGTACATCATCTTCATGATCTTCTTCTCCATCTCCAATGGCTACCTGGCCAGCCTTTGCATGTGCTTCGGGCCCAAGTGAGTAAGCTCTGGGGATGGGGGAAAATTTGGTTTCACCCGTGGGTGGCAGCCCAAGTCCAGCCCTGGCGTCTGGGTGGGCATCTGAGTGGGCTGCAACATTTCAGCACAGGGGTCAGGGAGGGGTGGCCTTCATGCTAGAGCTTGAGACAGCCTGCCTGAAGGATTTTGTCTTTTTTATGAGCCCGTGATGTGGAGGTGGTTTCTTGGAGCGAGGTGGGGTTTCTTCTTGCCATTCTGCAGCAGAAGAACACTGCTTCTGCCTCTGCTGGGGTCTCCTCCCATCTCTCAGTTGAACTCCAACAAGGGCATGGGGCATGCGTTGTGAGGATGAGTCTGACACCTGTTTCTTTCCTAGGAAAGTACTTGCCCATGAAGCAGAGACAGCTGGAGCAGTCATGGCCTTTTTCCTGACGCTGGGTTTGGCCCTAGGAGCCGCTGTCTCTTTCCTGTTCCAAATTCTCATCTAGCAGAGGCACCCAGAGGGTGCAGGCATACTAAGATGGCTCCGCATCCTCCTCCGAGGCCCTGGACACCTCTGTGCTGTGGGGTGATAACACCTCACTCCTGCCCCTGCCAAATCGCGCTGCCACAGCAGATGTTCCATCCAGGGACGGTTCCACTCTTCCAGGGTTGGTGTGGCTCCTGCCATGCCTGGCTGTGTGATGCCTTCAGGCCTATGTGCCTTTGCCTTCCCCGTGTTGTGTGTAAAATTCCCAGGACCTCACTGAGGTCCATCTGCCTCCTGTGACACAGAAATTCCCCAGCTCAAGGCCGAAAGCCATTGCAAGCCTCCTCCTCTCCGCCAGGCAGAGCTGAAGGCTGGTATCCAGTGTTACTCCCCCTCCTGCTCTTATTGCAGGCATCCTCTGCCTCTCCTCTCCCTCCCCTCATCCTACACTGCAGCTTTTCTCCTACTGGAGACACTTGCAGATGGGGAAAACCCCAGCCGGCCTCGCCAGCCCCACACTGCCACACCCTGGGCCGCTGGGTTTGAAGGGCGAGAGATATCCGTGTCCCGTCCACGCCAAGAGCCAGCACCGCGGCTCAGCAGATGAAGAGCTGTGCACCCTTTGCTTCTCCCTGCCCCCCGCGTTCAGCCCCTACATAACCGGTTGCTCATTCTGCCTTTGTTCGCTCTCCTCCCCCCGCAGGAGGAAGGCGGCGGTTCCCGGCTGCGGCAGTCCCGGCCTGCCCCCGGCTGCCCCCCGCGCTCTGTAAATGTATCTGTAAATGTACAGTTGCCTTTTTCTATAAAAAGACTGAAACGTGTGTCTGTGTCCATCACTGTGGGAAAAGGGCACCTCGCAGTAACCGCAGTGCCGCCTGGTGCCGCGGAGGAGAACTGCACGGCCTCGCGGCGGTCCGCTCCCACGCACCGGCCGGCGCCCCGGACCCGCAGAAGCCCGACCGCCACCGGGGGTCGCGTGGAACTCTCTGGAACACCGACCGCGCTCCTACTCTGCCGACACTGTGCTCCTCCGCTGGCCGCCGCCGTTAAAGGGGACAGGAGGTGGGCCCACCGAGCGGCCCGCAGCTTCACCCGACATCACCGCTGCGGCGGCCGCGTTCCGCAGGGCCGTTTTAAGGCGGAAGGAACCGCCGGGCGGGGCGGGGCGCACCGTGCCTCTATAAGGAAGCCCAAGGGGGAGGTGAGGATTCTTTTTTTTGCATCGCCCGACTGCAGACGGTGAGGTTCGGGCGGCGCTGGGTCGAGGCTGGTCGGGTGGGCTGTTATCGCTGTAGCTATCGCTGCAGCCCTGGTACAGACGGCGTGGGGTTGCCTTGCAGATGCCCGAGGAAGTGCAGCATGGAGAGGAGGAGGTGGAGACGTTCGCCTTCCAGGCGGAGATCGCGCAGCTCATGTCGCTCATCATCAACACGTTCTACTCCAACAAGGAGATCTTCCTGCGGGAGCTCATCTCCAACGCCTCCGACGTGAGCCCTGGCCGCGGGAGGGTCTTCCTCTGCTGGGGGGCGGGGGGGCTGGGGCAGCCCTGAGGGGCTCAACAGTGGGCCGAGGCACGTGGTGCTTGGCGGCGGCTGTCCGGTAGGGGGCGGCAGCGAGCGGGACCCGTTGTCTCCTAAAGGCGCTGGACAAGATCCGCTACGAGAGCCTGACCGAGCCCTCCAAGCTGGACAGCGGGAAGGACCTCAAGATCGACATCGTCCCCAACCCGCGGGACCGCACGCTCACCCTGCTGGACACCGGTATCGGGATGACCAAAGCCGACCTCATCAACAACCTGGGCACCATTGCCAAGTCGGGTACCAAAGCCTTCATGGAGGCCTTGCAGGTGGGTTGCTTTTGGCTGCGTGGCATCTGTGGCCTCGCTGCCTTCCTTGCTGCGGGGGCTGCCGGCCTACCTGAGCGTGTTTCCACACCTCCAGTAGCAGGGAGGTGCTGAGGGTAGGGCTGGCTGCCTGTTGTGCCTTTATCCGTGTGTGTGCTGACACAGCTCTCTGCTGGTTGAAGCCGTTGCAAACGCTTCCTGTGTTCTTTTTGTCCCTCTGCCCTCACAGGCAGGCGCAGACATCTCCATGATTGGACAGTTTGGTGTGGGTTTCTACTCTGCCTACCTGGTGGCCGAGAAGGTGGTGGTCATTACCAAGCATAATGATGATGAGCAGTATGCTTGGGAGTCGTCAGCTGGGGGATCCTTCACTGTCCGGACTGACCATGGTACGTATGGCACAAAATCAGGTGTATTTCTGCTGGATGGGCAGTCCTTTTAATCCTTAACGTTACGTTATCAAGTAGCAGTTATGTTCCAAAAGCTGGTCCTGTTTATGCATTGCCCTTCTGCATCACCCCTTGAAACCCACAGCTTTGTCATCTCACACAATAGGTGAGCCCATTGGACGGGGCACCAAAGTGATCCTGTATTTGAAGGAGGACCAGACAGAGTATTTGGAGGAGAGGCGTGTCAAGGAGGTGGTGAAGAAGCACTCCCAGTTCATTGGCTACCCCATCACACTTTATGTATGTCAGAACAGTTCTGTGGGGACCCCTGGGAAAGCGGGAGGGAGGGATGAGAAATGTTGGAGGGGATGAAAGAATGACAGCTACCATCTTTTGTGGCCAGAAGAAGTGAGGAATTGGAGGCAAACATAGTTAATATCCAGACATGTATTCAGTCTTTGATCTGTACAGCTGAATTAGCTATGGAGCGTAGAGGGTTTTGTGCCCGCTGTCTTCTCAGACACGCTGTTTCATTACATGAACGCTGCAAGCATTTGTAGGATTGACTGGGGAAAAAGCACTGTTTCCTGCCATTGTATGTATTGGGCAGTGATCTCCACCCATGAGGATGCCTGTTTTGCTTGTCCTGAGAATAAAGATTTTCTGGTAGCGGTTGCTTGGGGCTAAAACTGTGTTTATGACTCTGATTCTTGTCCTTTCTTGCACAGGTGGAGAAGGAGCGTGAGAAAGAAATCAGTGATGATGAGACAGAAGAAGAGAAAGCTGAGAAAGAGGAAGAGACTAAGGATGAGGAGAAACCAAAAATTGAGGATGTGGGCTCTGATGAGGAGGAGGAGGGAGATAAAGGCAAGAAGAAAAAGACCAAGAAAATTAAGGAGAAATATATTGACCAGGAGGAGCTGAACAAGACCAAACCTATTTGGACCCGCAACCCTGATGACATCACCCAGGAGGAGTATGGAGAGTTCTACAAAAGCCTCACCAATGACTGGGAGGATCACCTGGCGGTCAAGGTGGGTCCTGGGCCACCCTGGCTTCCTGGAGGGACAGAGGGCCCCTTTCTAGCTTGTACCCAAAGCCACCATTTTGGTACAAATCTGAAGGTTCCTGGGCCACTTGATGCTGCAGCTTCTATTGATTTTTGTGCAGGTGGAGGGGTGGGCAGTGGTAGACTAGGAACTTGAACAGGAGAATATTGGGTCTCAGAGAACTACGACTTCTCTGTCCGGGCCTACTGGATGCTAGAGAAGCCTGGACATGCTGGGGGTAGCAGTAGGGCTGAAGAGGGGGAAATGCTGGCTGTTTTGTAGGAGACCATGCTGTGCTTCTCTGCCAGCCCTAGTGCTGAGGAGCAGCAGTTCAGCCTGCCCAGTGTAGGTGCTTGCAGCAAAGTCTAGAAGGGACAGACAGTGGCATTTTCTCATTTCTGGCCCCACAGCACTTCTCTGTGGAAGGGCAGCTGGAGTTCAGGGCCCTGCTCTTCATCCCACGCCGTGCTCCTTTTGACCTCTTCGAGAACAAGAAGAAGAAGAACAATATTAAGCTGTATGTGAGGCGTGTCTTCATTATGGACAGCTGTGATGAGCTCATTCCTGAGTACCTGAGTAAGAGCCCCCCTGCCTCAGTTTCCCAGGTTGAGCTGGGACACCCCCAGCCTCGTGGTTTTCAGTGCCAGGTGGCTGGCTGAGATGCCAGCAGCAGTGGGCTGACAGCAGTCTGTGTCTTAACACTTCTGTTATAATGAGATCTTAATTTCTGTTTCCCTTACTTAGACTTCATCCGAGGTGTTGTGGACTCAGAAGATCTACCTTTGAACATATCTCGTGAGATGTTGCAGCAGAGCAAAATCCTCAAGGTGATCCGCAAAAACATTGTGAAAAAGTGCTTGGAGCTCTTCACTGAGTTGGCAGAGGACAAAGAGAACTACAAGAAATTTTATGAGGCCTTTTCCAAGAATCTGAAGGTGAGAGCTTGGACATAGTGCACTGGGAGGAGGGAGGGACTTGAGATCCACCTGCCTTCGGAACAGGCTTGTTCCAGCATCACATCAGGGTGTTGGGGTAGAGGTGGGCCTCAGAAGTGCCCCAGAGAGCCTCTGTGGGCAGTTGGACTCTTATGTTAGGAGGTGGTTGTGTCTTGGGGATAGCCAAGTGTATGTAAGCTCCATTCTGGAGACTACATGTATGCTTTCTGCCCGCAGCTGGGCATCCATGAGGACTCAACGAACCGAAAGCGCCTTTCAGAGCTGCTGCGCTACCACACATCTCAGTCAGGTGATGAGATGACTTCACTTTCAGAGTATGTGTCCCGTATGAAGGAGTCACAGAAGAGTATCTACTACATCACAGGTGAGCCAGATCTCTGCTGATGAAGCGGGTTATCTGTCTACCAGTTTTAAATTCTTCCAGGCAAATCTTGCTGCCTTCAGCAGGCCCTCTCTGCTGAAAGACAGACCATCTCTGGGTGCTGGGGCAAGGTTATCAGGCCCAGAGCCCTAGCTGCAGCCAACTTTACATCAGGGACTCTGAGAGATCAGTATTTTCTATCACACTGTAAGCAGCTCCTAAATCTTTGTGACGTCCTGCTTCTAAACCCATAAACACAGGGGAGAGCAAGGAACAGGTTGCCAACTCAGCCTTTGTGGAGCGTGTGAGGAAGCGTGGCTTTGAGGTGGTGTACATGACGGAGCCTATTGATGAATACTGCGTGCAGCAGCTCAAGGAGTTTGATGGGAAAACCCTAGTGTCAGTTACTAAGGAAGGGTTGGAACTACCTGAGGATGAAGAGGAGAAAAAGAAGATGGAGGAGAGCAAGGCTAAGTTTGAGACCCTCTGCAAACTCATGAAGGAAATCCTGGACAAGAAGGTGGAGAAGGTGAGACGGTTGAGGAGCTCAGCCCAGGGCTGTGTCCTGGGCTGGTGGGAGGAGGGCTGGGCCCCTCTGTGACGCAGGCAAGGGTCCCAGCTCAATGCATGCCTCTGATCTCCCTCATCTCCTGCAGAGGAGCCGCTAAAGGAGACTGAAGGTCCCAGCATGCACTGCACCATCTTGCTCTAAGCAGCCAGGCTGCAGGCGAGGGGCACTGACCCAAATACGTGCATTGATGGGAGACGGTAAGTGTGGGAAATGCAGTGGGTACTGAAGGTGCTGGCTGAGCTGTCCAAACCGTTCTGTCAAGCGATTTTGGAGCTGTTTTGAAGGATCCCTGTTTGCTTTGGGCTGTCCTCAGGTGAACCTGGGATGATTACATGGGGTGTTGTGCGCTGGGGCTGGGTCTGTTCTTGGGTGTGCTGGGAGCCTTGCTCTGCTAACTCTTGGCTCCCTTGTCAGGTAACTATCTCAAACCGGTTGGTCTCATCTCCCTGCTGCATTGTCACCAGCACATACGGTTGGACAGCAAACATGGAGCGCATCATGAAGGCTCAGGCACTGCGGGATAACTCTACCATGGGCTATATGATGGCCAAGAAGCACCTGGAAATCAACCCTGACCACCCAATTGTGGAAACTCTCCGCCGGAAGGCTGATGCTGACAAGAATGACAAAGCTGTCAAAGACCTGGTGGTCCTGCTCTTCGAGACTGCTCTGCTGTCCTCTGGCTTCTCCCTGGAAGATCCTCAGACCCATTCCAACCGCATCTACAGGATGATCAAACTGGGGCTTGGTACGTGTCCACGCAGCTTCTGGAGAAGGTTCTGGGCGAGGCTAGCTCCCCTTATAAATGGGATTTTCTTAACCTGCTGTGAAATCACCTGCCCAAGTCTCTGTTAAAGTGAGATCCATGGTCTCCTCACCTTTTCTTGTGGCTTGACACCGTATAGGTGCCCAAGGTGTCTGAGCTGGAATTTCCTACAGAAGTTATTAGGAAGGAGTGACGTGCCTTGGCAGAAGCAGGCAGCCTAGCTTCCTGTGGACTGTGCAGCAAAAGCAATGTGTAGTTGAGGCATGAGGGAAAGGCCAGTGAGTGAGCAGTGCTGCTGTGATACACAGAAGTAGCTGGGTGTTTAAGGAGGCTGGGGGCAAGTGGAAGTCTCAAGAAAGGTTGTCCTGGCCTCATGCCCACCACCAGGCTGCACAGGTGACATCATTCTTGCAGTAGATGTCAAAAATCTACCATGGAAAAGAGGGCCCTGCCCATGTGTTCAAAGGGCTTGCTTACATTCAGTTTTGTCTCAACTGTCTTTTAGGCACAAATGTAAATCAAGAAGTGCTGTGGCTTGGCATAATTCCTGGGTGCTGTTGCTTGGGCTCCTGACAAGCCAGCCTTTGTTGTGGGACTGTGCGACTCAGCTGTCTCTTAGAGGCTTCATCTCTTCTTTCCCTTTTCTCTCCTAGGTATTGATGAAGATGAGGTGATTGCAGAAGAGTCCAATACAGCTCCTCCTGATGAAGTCCCACCTCTGGAGGGAGATGAAGACACATCCCGCATGGAAGAGGTGGACTAAAGAAAGAAGTCTCTTCCATCTCCTGCCAGACCTCTGTCCAATCTCATGTCTGTTTAGAAAAGGGGTCTCTGCTCCCACCGACTTCTGGCTCCTTGATGGTGTCTTCTGGAATTTTTTTTTTTTTTTTTTTTTTGGTAGTGGGGAATGGAGACAGGATTCCCTGTTTGTCAGTAATGAGCAAGTCAGGCAGCCCTGGGCATGTCTGTTGTGTGTATTTCTACTTGTGTAAGATCATGTAATGGGGAATGGAGGTGTGGAGGGGTCAGTCTTCCTCTTTCTCACACCCCATGGGATCTCCCATGCTCAACTGAGGTGAAGAGAGTCCTTTCTCTCCAGCCTCCCCATAGTAGGATTGTATCTTGGTTGGCTTGGTTATTTTTCATTGATTTTCCTGATGTTTTGTTCTACTGGAATTAAAGTGTCAAAAGATCAAGGTTTACATAAAAGGTCCTATTGTGTTCTCATGTCCAGAAAGAGGAAGGTGAGGATGCTCAATTCCAGAGGTTTGAGCACTGGAAGGGAAGTTATGCAGAGCTCAGCTGGTGCTGTGCTGAGAGGGCTGACAGGCCTGTTTTGCTTGCGGGCACACTTCCTTGTATTGGAGGGCTGCTGGGACTTCTATTCTCTGCCATGTATAAGCAGGGGGTTATATGAACCTGGGGTAGAAATTGCAGGAGACAGAATGCAGGAGACAGGTTCTTGTTCTAGCTGCACCACTGCCTATCCCTGCCTCCAGGGGACAAGGTGAGGAGGGGATTACTGGCTGAGGAGAACTTAGGAGATGCCTTGAAGAAACTGTCTTTCGGCTTGCATCAAGCTGTGGCCTTGGCTCCCTTTCTCTTCTGTGTGTCATAGCTGCACATGCTGAGTGGGCTGCAGCTCTTTCCAGAAGTTGGGGGAGAGATAGGTGGCCTGCTTTCAACGCTCTTGGCCTCTGTAGTTAAAAAGCCACCACCACAGGTTCAAACTGTTGTGCTCTTTCTGAATTGCCATGTGAAGGCAGGGTCTACTCCGACTAGATTTGAGTTGTGCTTTAGCTCATCTCTGCTACTTCCCTGCTTTGGCACCACAGAGAGGGTAGGTGAGAAAGGACCTGCTGGGCAGGAGAGGTGGTCTCTGCCTGCATGACCTGCAGCTGGTGAAGAAACCTTTTCAAGCTGTGCTTGTCAGCTGAATAAGCTAACAGGACATGAGTGTGTGTTGCTGCTGGCTGGTCTAATCAGCATCTCTCTGTCTCTGGGCTGGAGCAGTGACAGGAGCCATCTGCTTGTTCCCTTGCAGCACAGAGTTGAGATAGGGGTGGGAGGGAATTAACTGCTGGGGATTTCAGCTGCCTCTGTTCAGCTCTTATGTCAAACTGCTTTTGCAGGCTTTGTTCTAGGCTTCACTTTTTCTCCGCCATCCAGCCTGCTGTTTTAAGGTTTCTGCAGCCCTTTGGGCTTAGCAGCACCTTGCTTTAACCTGTCTCTTGGATGACTGAGAGGCCTGGGGCATCATCTGAGCCATCTGCTCTTTGTATCAAACTTACACTAAAGCTGTAGGGCTTGTCACCCTCTGCCATGTTGGCCTCTGGGGTTGGGCAGGGGAAAGGGACATCAAGTCATACTTGACTGTATGCCAGCAGCCACAGGCACAAAATGGAGTGGACATTTTAGCCAACATCCATCTTGAAAAGGGAAGTAGGAGGTAGAGCACAGCTCTGGTGGGAGCTGGAGTCATGCCTGCACACCAAGGCACTGTAGGACACAGTACTGCAATGGTAGAAGCTGAAGGAGACAGAAGGGGGAGTGGAACCAGAAGCAGAAAAAAGCAGAGGTGTAAGTGGAAGAGGTGTAAATGGAAAATGAAGTGGAAGCACAAGCAAAGTGAAGTAGAAAGAAGTGGAAGTGACAGTGGAAGAAATCAGAAATGGAAGGGCAGAATGTTGTGAGGGTGGAAGGTGGCTGCTACGAGGATGGAAAGAAGCAGAAGTGGAAGCAGAACCAGAAGTTGAAGTGGAACCAGAAGTTTAAGCAGAAGGAATCAGAAGCAGAACAAGGCAGAACTATAAGCTAAAGTGCAACCGGAAGGGAAATGAAGCAGAAGGAAATGGAAGCAGAAGTGGATTGAAATAGAAGCGTCAGAGGAAGCAGAAGTGGAAAGGAGTGGAATGAGAAGGAACTCAAACCAGAAGTGTAACCAGAAGTAGAAAAAGTTGAAGCAGAAGTAGAGGAAGGAAACAGAAGTGGAATGAAGCAGAACTGGGAGAAGTGGAAAGAAGCGAAAGGGCAGAAGGCAGCTGCTACAAGGGTGGATGTGGAAGTTGAGGTGGAATTGTAACATGAAGAGGAAGCAGGAACAGAATAAAGTGGAAAGCTGCTATAAGGGCAGAAGACATTGAGATAGAATAAAGAGGAAGTAGAAGGGGAAGCATAGCTGGGCAAAATGTAACCAGCATATGCATAAAATGGAGTGGGTGTTTCAGCCAGCATCCATCATGAGAAGGGAAAGGGGAGGTAGAGAACAGCTGGGCCCTGTTTTGAGCCCTACTGGGAGCTGGAGTCATGGCTGCACACTGTGGGGCACAGTGCTGCTTGGGTGCAAGCTGGTGGGGTGCAGCTAGAGCTGTGCTAGCCAACTCTTGCAGAGTAATTTTCTTGCTGAGACAGGAGAAAGGAGACAGGATTTCTCCCAGGATAGGGAAGTTTTGCCAGGTGAGCCTCAACATTGATTCTTTTCAGCTTAAAGCATTTTCCTTGTTTGTTTTCCTCCATTCTCATTTAACTGAGAACAGGGGTCCTGTTCTGCACTGTGATAGAAAGGAACTTTACCATTCCTTTCCTTTTCATCCCCCTTTTCCCCCCCCAAAAAAAAAATCCTACCCAAAAACCCAAACGTTCTCAGTCTGACAGCAGACTGTGAGGCAGACACTTGGGGGAATTTGAATTTGTAAACAAAGAGGTGGAGGCAAGAGGAAGGATGCAGGGCTGTGAGATCATGTAATACAAGCACTTTCAAGAACTTGAAAGTATTAAAGGAGCTTGGATAAAACTGCTAGAGCCAAACTCAGTGCTGTGGTCAGCAGATGCTGTTGTCCTTGCAGGCTGTTAATATGCCTGATCAGTCTCTCCTGTAACCCTCGCTTGATTCTCCTGTTTCTCTAGCTGCAGGGCAACGTTCTGTGGTTGGCTCCAGACCTTGCTAGGCCCAGAGAGCACAAGCATAGAGTGAAGGTTTATTTCAACACTCAATTGTGCACCAGGGGTCTATACAGGACTTGTGGAGCTGGTGTGGGTGCAAATGCACTCCATGAAGACTGGACTCCTTCAAGGCCTCACTATGGCAGTGGAGGCTCTGGCCCCTATTTACATCATCTCTATCCATCTACCCTATTTGCAGATACACCCACCTGGCGCCAGGGTTCCCTGCGTTGTCCCCAAGTCCTTATCAGGATTAAATTGGCACAGAGTTGCAGGTCCTGGTGCACTCCCCAGCACAAGCAGAGGTCTGAGCATGGCTATGTTCTCCAGCTGTGTGTGTGCAGGGATCTTGCATGGAGGGACCATGGGGCTTTGGAGCTGTAGGTCCAACCCTGGGTGCAGGCAGAGGTACCCGTATTTGGAAAGGAGAGAGAGCGTAGCAAAGTTTTCTAGGGAGATCAGGGAACAGCTTGGGGAATTAGTCTCTTCCCTCCAGCTGTGAGTGGGAGGGAAGATACAGGGGAAAAGAAAACAAACAAAAAACCCATTTACCCCTGGGGTACTATATGCAGCATATTTTTAATTTAATAAAATAAAAAGAAAAAAGTTGCTTTTCAAAAGTACCAAAATTGCTGACTTGTCAGTCAGGCTGTGATGGGGAGAAAAGGGTTAATGGGTACAACCCAGGCTTTGGGGAAGAGCAGTGGGAGCAGCCTCCACTACCACATCCCCTGTTGCCTGGGGGCAGGCACCTGCTCCTCCATCCTCTGCTGCCTGTGGAGAGGGGATGAGCCATGACAGAGGGCTCTGTCCCTTCCTGCAGACCTCCAGGCACTGTGGGGCTCTGATAAGGCCCCAAGAAAGGTGGGGCTGATACTTCCAGTTGGCAGGGAAAAAAAAAGCGGGTGTTTGTGCTTCTCTGAATGGCAATTACAGAGTCCAGAAACCGTGGCACCCTGAGGAGATGCTGGGGATTCTGGGCACTGTAGCCTTTGGCCTGTAACAGCAGCAGATGTAAATGAAAAGCAACCTAGAATAACTCAGCAAGCCTTGGGAAATGCATCAGCCAGCCTCTATCTCCACATAAAAATCAGCCTGGGCTAGGAGGAGCAAAGAAAATTGGCTTAGAGCTGGGGTAAGGGACTGATAAACCAAACTGGGATTCCAGCCTGCCCTCCCAGAGCAGATCCCAGGCCTGTGGTAGGACAGGTCCTCTCTGAGCTGTGCCTCTCCTACCTGAGCACCTCCTGGGAAGAAAGCCTGAGGCTGGAGTGACTGAGCGGGAGTTTCTGTCCTACTTACCCCAGGCTCAGCTCAGGATTTTGCCTCATATAGAGACATTCCAAAGACAGAGCTAGTGTTTTTCCTGCTCCCTCCTCCTGCTGAGCTCTGTAGTAGTGACAGACATGGAGGCGCGTAAGCTGGAGGGAAGATGTTGCCATGTAAAAGATCTCTCTTGTTCAATCAATGACCTTAGAGAGAAACCATGACACAGGTGGGGCAGGAGCACCAGCAGCCCCATGCTGGTTTGCCCCTGCAGCTGCAAGCCCCTAGGTCCGTGTCTTGGCTGGAAGTCTCTCACCTATTAAGGCAAATAGTAAGGTTTGGAGCTGTGGCAGCCCAGAGCATTCCCTGGGCTTGTTGCAGCCCCCTCCCCAGGAAAAGCAGGTGGAAAATTGAGTCACTTGGCCAGCCTAACAATACTCCACCTGGCTCCTCAGTGGGTTCTGATAGATCAAGCAAGCGCCCCCCAGCAGAGGCAGGACAGCAGGCACAGCTCAGAGACCCTGGCCTCAGCTCCTTAGACCTTTTGGACAGCGGTCTCCCCTGGTGGTAGTTTCTTGCTGCGCTTCTTCATGCGGCTGCGGGCATAGACGCGGAGGAAGAGTGCCATAAAGACAACAGCTATGCCCAGCCCACCCACAACAGTGACAGTGTGCCCATAAATGAGGCAGGAGAGGAGAATGGCAAAGGCCTGGCGGAGAGTCATGATGATAGTGAAGACGGCTGCCCCAAACTGGTTGATGGTGTAGAAGATGAAGAGCTGGCCACAGGCAGAGCACACTGACAGCAGCACCGCGTGGGCCGTGAACTCCGAGTGACGAGCCATGAAGTGCACTGATTCTAGCAAAGCACCCTGCTCCAAGAGCGAGCCCACTGTGAAAAGGCAGGAGAAGACATTGACACCGAACATCATCTGCACGGGAGACATCTTGTAGGTGAAGAGGGCATCCTGCCAGTTGGATGTGAAGCTGTCGAAGACAATGTAGCCGGCCAGGAGGACTACACCAGAGAAAGTGGTGACAGTGGACACGTGTCTGTTGGGAGCACTGGAGAGCAGGAACATGCTGACCCCCACAGAGATGAGGGCAGCTGTCAGGTATTCCCAGTACTCGTAACTCTTGTGTGACACCAGTTTACCCATCATCATTACAGGGATCACTTTAGAAGCCTTGGCCAGCACTTGGGTGGGGAAGCTGATGTATTTGAGAGCCTCGTACTGGCACCAGCTGCTGAGGATGTTGGAGAGGGAGGCGAAAGAGTACTTGTACATAGCAGCCCCATGGCGCGGCTGCTTGGTCAAGGCGCAGTACAGACCAGCCACAGTGAAGGCCAGGATGCGGTTCATGAACACTAGGAACTGGGAGTCCTTGAACTTCTCACCAGGGTCCGTCTCAGTAGCACCGTATGTTCTTGTCATCACGCGCTCCTGGAGAACACCCCATGTGAGGTAGGAGGCCTGCAAAGCAAGAGGAGCACAGGGAATTAGGACCCGCACCAAGAGCTACAAGCAATCATTGGAAGATTGTCTATTGCCCACAAAGCAACACCTCAGTACAGAGAAAACACTTGTTTTAAACTGCCTGTTGAACCAGATGGACAAGATCAGAGAACATTACTGATATATAGCTCTGGCTTTGGTGCCAGCTCTCTGCAGCAGGTCCTGGCAGCTTTCCCAATGGCCTTTGTGTTGGTTTTCACTTCCAGCTTTACAAACCAAGTTCTTCCACCCAAATCAATTCTATTTTCTAGCAGACAAAATTGTTCTCCAGGGATAATCACTGCTCTGGCTGTCACCTCCACTACTTTACGCAGTGCTACTGAGCACTGAGCCTTTGACAAAAGTAACATGAACTTTTCTCTCCCAGCTAACTAAGGCAGAGAGATGAAATGATGTAGTTGCGTCCTGCAGAAAGTCTGAAGGTACTGGGATAGCAGGCCAGAGCAGAGGCATTTTCTGTTGGCTGCAGGATTTGTGAGTTTTGTGTAATAATTAATTTTAGTCCTCGAAGAACCAAAAAGCTGCCATTCCTAATGACGATTAGGCTGTAGCTGAGACTCGAGGAAACTAAAATTAAAAGATCCTCTATTTTTGTAGCCGAATTCCTTGGTATCCAAATCAATCTATCAAGGGCAGAACCCTTCAGCTCCAGAAAGTGACCCAGAAGAGAGCCCATGTGTTAACTACCTGCTGCTCTGATGGGAACTGGAACAAGAGCAGCCCTACAAATCTCAGTAGCAGAATTCTCCTTGTCCATGGATCCAAGGGACTGCATTTGGACAGATGAGAGAGGTCCCAATGCAGACGACACCAGAATGGTCCCTCAAAGGTTACACAGCAGCCCTGGTGGATTATCCTAATGGAGAGGCAGTGTCCCAGCCTCCAATTCTGCCCTATCAAGGACAGCACTGCATCTCCAAGGAACTGGCAGTACAAACTCATTTTCCAGTCCCTCCACCCTGAGTGGGACGGCCACGCACACATGCATAGGGCCCCTACCTGTAGACCAGCAGCACAGAAGAGCAGCTTCAAGATCTGTCGGGCTGTAGAGGACTCTGTAGGCTCTGCTCGGGGTGGCAGGGAGCCATCCTCTGCATGTACAGTCTTCACCTCAGAGCCGAACACACATGATTTGATGACAGGAAAGCAAATGCCTCGGCCTGAAGGGACAAGAGAACACAGACACAGAATTAACCACAAGCCACACCAGCCTGAGAGGTGTAGGCTCCTTCCTTACTAACCTTCTCTGTGACTAACAGTCAGTTCATTACACTACATGCAACACCAGATGGAGACTGGGGCCTTTAGCAGACAAACTGTCATATTACTTATGCAGCCATGGATTGAGCTGACTCAGGCAAACTCCAAATTGTTCAGAATAAAGTTCCATATCTACTAGTATGGGAGCCTGGGAGATATTTGTTTCAGGATAGCTCTTAGGGATGGAAGATTATGCCCAGCTCAGCGCTGGTCCAACAAAGCACAGCAAGAGAACCACCTGTCAGCGCTGAGGCAGATATCTGAGGAAAGCTGTTGCCTGCCCTTACCTGTCTCCAGGTAATTCCTTCTCTTGAAGTACTGAATGAGAAGGAATCCTGGTATTACAATACTCGCATAGCCAGCAGCGTTAATAAAGAAACGGAAGAGCCAGAAGTCCCCCCAGGAGTCCTGCAAGGCAGGGAGCATTTCTTCACCAGTAGCCATGATGGGGAGAGCAGCCAGCTCGAGGGGAACACAAAATCTGCAAGAGAGACAAAGAGGCAGACGATAGGCAACCAGCACACAGCCTGCTCCCCCTGCCTACCTGCACCACCTACCTCCCAGATTGCTCCTGACCAGCAGGCAGCACCCATATCCCACGCTGGCAAATAACAGCAGTTATCGCAGAATACAGAGCAGGAAAGGCCCTCTGGAGTTTATATTTGCATCTGTTAACAGTGTTTGCTCTGGCTTAGGAACACATGGACTTAAAAGCTTGGGCTTCCAGGATTGGAGAGGATGTTTGAATGCTGTTGTAAAGGGCAGGTTATGACAACGCCTTTGTTCCAAATGCAAGGAGCACATTGCACCTCACCTTTTCAGGTTAAACTATAGCACAGCTAAATGCAGATTTCTTTCTTCTGGGTGGAAAAAAATAAAAGGTCATGAAATGAAAAGAGATTCCTAGCAGCTCATGTTACAAGCCTGCATCCAGAGCAGCCTCTCTTTCAGAAAAAGAAACTTCCCCTCCAACTACACCAGGTGAGCAGAGGAGAGCCAAGGGAGCATGTGGCTGCCAGGCTTGCCCATCTCCCTGCTGGGGCAGCACATAGCCCTGGGGCAGTGCGCCAGGGCATTCCCTGCAGCTCTGAGGAAATTACCAGGGCTCACCCACTTGACAAGGCACAGCCAGAGGGCAAGGTTGGGAAGGAACCTTCTTATCAGCTGTCTGGTTGGGTTTTTACCAGTGCAATCTGCAAAGGCATCTGAAGCATTAGTCCTGAGTGAGGAATGATCTGGTCAGCTTTATGACAGCTGTAATGCACCTGTAGTACTTCCCACTGTCCCCTTCAGTGCACAAGCAAACCCAGGCTAGTAGGCCACACAAAGAACAAGAGCAGCAGATACACAACAAGGAGGAAGTTGGCACAGACTTCTGCACCCAAGGCCGCTGGCATCCTCCTCTCCCGCAGCAGCCTGGTCCAAGCTCAAAGCATCTTTCTGCAGCAGGGGAGGAGGTAACTTTGGTCCATGCTCCATTCTTGCCCCAGTCTCCCCTGCAGAAAAAGCCTCACAGGGGCCAGTGATGGTGCTATGGAGCTGGGTACATAAACATGCACCAGATGAAGCTCTGGGCTTCTGTGATGAAAAGGGCCAGAGAAGATGCTAGCTCCCCCTGCAAAAAAACAAGTGATTCATAGGAATTTAGGCCCTGTGTACCTTCCCTCAGTGTCAGAGACCGCAGCTGTGGTCTCCAGTATTCACGAATCTCAGAGTCTTGTACTAACAAAGCTAGGGTTGTAAAGGCAAAAAAGTCCCCTGCCATTTCATGAGCAACAAGCTCTCCCTTCCCACTGTCCTCCTATGCCCTGGGAAAGGGCTCAGGGACTTTTCTAATCTTCAGTCACTGCAGACAGGCCTCAGAGTCCAACAACTTGACATAAGCCAAGGCTGAGCTTCACCCTCCTGTGACTTACATGACCCAGAAATTCCCATCCTGGGTAGAAGTGCAAACAGCTTGGAGCAGGTTTTTGTGCCTCTGCTCTCTCCTCATTAAAAAAAAAAAAAAAAAAAAAAAAAAAAAAGTCTGACACCTCTGCCTCAATCCTCCCCCTCCTTCAGACCTCTCTCCTGCTGAGAGGCACTGCAGGCTGCACAGGTGCTGGAGGATGTAAGGAAAAGAGCTCAGCGGTAGCAATGGGGGCTGATGCTGCCCACGTGCTCCAGGCTTGCATGAGGTAATCCTGGCTGATCACAGCAGCTCTCTTGCCAAGCAGAGGGCACAGAAAAGCCCTTTGCTTTTGCTTAAGTCTGATACAAACCACAAAGTCGGTTGCTACATTCATAGCCATGCATCCCATCAACTTGACGGAGACCAAAAGCCAGCCACCCCTATTCAGGACCATTCCCCTCACCCCCAAGCACTGTTGCGGGAGCAGGAGCAGCCCCGCTCTCCCACAGGAGGATACAGCGGGACAATGGCTCTCTATGCGCGCACCGGCAGTTCCCAGACGCAGATTCAGGGCCGCCGGCTCCGCTCTCCCCGCCGAGACTCGGAGGGAACAGGGCCGCCAGTGTTACAGGTGGGAGGGGGCCGTACGGGCGGCAGGCCGAGCGGTGAAAGGCGCCTCAGAGCGGGACCGCCGCGCGGCTGCAGCTCCCCGGCTCGCAGGGGGCCGCTCTCGGCTGCACCGCCGCAGAGCCGGGCCAGGCCTCGGCCCCGGCCCCACGCCTCGGGCTCCTGACTGAGCCTCAGGGCTCAGATTTGGGGCCGAAGCGCTGCCCGGCCGCAGCCCGGCGCATCTGCAGCACCGCTCCGCCTAACGCGAAGCCTCGAGCGCAGAGAGCCAGGCCCCGCTCCGAGCAGGACCTCGCTGCACGGAACCACACCATCGCGTTAAGGTTGGAAACGCTTCTCAAATCACCCACCCAACCGCCGGCCCACCACCGCTGTACCCACCTGCCCGTCACTCGCTCACACGGCATCTCCCCTGCGGCCCGGCCCCGGGCACCCAGCTCCTCACTCTGCCGGAGGGCCGCCTCACGTCCCCAGACCGCACGGCTTTTCGCCAGGGACCGGGGACCGCCGCCGGGAACGGCGAGATAGGAAGAGGAAGCTCCCGGGGCTATGGGGCCGGTCCCCGCCCAGCGGCCCCGTCCGCAGGCGCCGCGTAGCCCGCTCCGATTGCAGACCCAGCACCCACCTGCGGCCCGCTCCGGCCCGGCCCGCTCCCGGCCGGCTACCTTCAGCCCGCTGCCGGCGGCGGCGGAGCTCCCGCCCGGCGGCCCGAAGCGTCGCGCCCCCCCCCTTCCCCACAGCGCCCCCTGGCGGCGCGGAGGAGCCGTGCGGGGCGGCGCGGAGCCACACGTAGCTGCGGCTGCGCTCATGGCCTCGCTATTCCGGAGGGCGGGAGGAAAGGATGGGGCGACGGCGGCTCTGCTTCAGGGCTTGCTGCACTGCCCCAGCCATGCAGTAACGGTTTACAACACTCATTTAAAAAAACAAAACAAAACACTTTTATTATGGAAAAAAAAAAAAAAAAGTGTAGATTACTTGCTTCTGCCTTTGTCCTCCTGCTCCTTCAGGCCTGGCTACTGTGACACGTTGCTCCCCCCAGCCACAGGACTCCCGGCCCTGGCAGGTGCTGCTGAGGTAGTGGGTAGAATACAACTCAATGGCAGCCCCAGAGCTGCTGGGGAGACCAGAGGAGTGAGTGCTGCGTTCCTGGCAGCATTCCCTCACATCTGCCTTTGCAAGAAGAGAGGAAGAAAGCTGCGAGCAGCTCTGCAGCATCGGGGGTGATTGCGCCATCCGGGATTTGCCCCACACAACAGCAGCTGCTCCATGGCAGCAAGTGGGGAATTTCCCTGGCTGGGGTGGGGTCAGCACCATGGGCGTCTGTTCACACAGCACCTCAGTGGGCCGGTTCCCCAGCACACTGCATCATGTGCTGCTCCCACAGGAGACAGGCAGGGACAGGAGGCTAGGAACTAAAAGGATGTGGAGATAGCCCAGCCACCACTTCAGCCTGTAGAACCCAGGGAAAACCCTATGTTCTCTAATCAACCTGCCATGCCACAAGCTGGGTCAGGATCTTCCCATGCTCATTGGAAAAGAGAACACTGTGTGGGAGTGAAGTAGGTTGGGTGACACGAGAGCTCGAGCACCTGCAGCCAGAACAAATGTTTATTACAGTGAGCACTAGCTGCTCACCCACTCTTGTTCTGATGCTGGCTGGGGTGCCAGATGATGCTCTGTCCCTGTGCACTGTAATGAAGAGTCCTCTCCTGCTCCATCCCCAGTCAGTGACAGCCTGCAGCACCTGCAGTTCAGGCCCCTAGCAGGGAGCGGAATTCAGTCCTGCTGATCTGTAGCACAGACCCCACTGGGCACAAATCTGAAAACACAGCCTCCCCTGTGTAGTGCTCGTAGTGTCACCTCCTTCTGTCCAGAAAGGCAGCCTGAAGCCCACAAAACTCTTCTCCAGGCAGGGATAACACATGGCTCCATTCCCATTGCAGGCTTCAGGGTGACAGCACAGGGCAAGGAGGCCATCTGTGGTCTACGTGTCCACTGCTCACTCAGAGCACACGACGGGCTTCCCCGAGATCTTCAGGTCATCAAAGGGCAGCAAGGCAAGGAACTGCAAAAGCCAAGGGTGCGGGGCTGTGAGCATCCCTGTTGTGTCTGTGCCACCACCCTGCAGCCCCAACATACCGACAGAACTCTCGGCATCCCCACTGGCCTCACTCACATCATCGTTGCCATCAGCTAGATCCTGGGCTGTCTCATTTTCCATGTTCCTCAGTAGGGTGTCTGCCCCAGAGTGTGAGAGGATGGCGGCGATGGCAGCATCCTTGCGACCCACGGCCAGGTGAAGCGGGGTGCAGCCATTGTACATCTGGGCATCTACGTAGGCCCCGTTGTGCAGCAGGAACTGGACAGCACTCCGGTTGTGGCACTCCACCGCCATGTGCAGTGGGGTCTTCCCGCTTGTGCCCTCCTGTGGGTGACAAGGAAATGGGTGTGAGGTCCCCTGCAGCACCCACACCCCATAGACAGGGTGGAGAGGTGCAGTCCCGCAGTAGCCCCTTCCAGCCCTACTTGAACATCAATGTTGGCACCGCTCTGCAGCAGCAGGGACATCATCTGGATGTTCCCCTTCAAGGTGCTGATATGCAGACAGGCCAGACCTGGGGAGAAGAGACAGCCAGCATCAGTGCCAGTCCCCCCCAACCTCCTGGATTTACAGCACAACCTCTGGACTTGTCCATGGGTCCCACCTTGCCAGTTCTGGAGCTGTAGGTCCTGGAGGTGCCCAGGGGGCTCAGCTGTGCCCTGCAGCAGCTGCTGGGCACAGCGCAGGCGTTGCTGCTCACAGGCCAAGTGCAGCGGGGTGTTGCCATTGCGGTCCTGCAGCCCAGGGTTAACTCCTTTGTGGATTAGTGCCTCGACTACACTGGGCTGCTCCAGATAGACAGCCAGGTGCAGCGGAGTCTGGAGGAGGGAAGCAGAAATTAGGAGGCAGGGGTGCGATGCAGTGCCAGCCCCCAGCAAGCAGCCTGGTGGCATGGGGTGGGCACTCCTACACCCCTGGTGCCAAGAGCTGCTTTCCTCCCTCCCAAGGTGTTGCCTTCCCCCTCTTTGGAAAGAGATTGCTCACACATCCTCATCATGCCCTGCAGCAAGCAGGAAGGCTTCCCTAGGGAAAAGGCTGATGGAGTGGGCACCCAGTAGAGTGGCACCTGCCTGCCTTATGCCTTCTGCCCATCTCACTCACGTCATACCTGGAAAAGGTCATTCTGGATTTCCAGCAGCTCTCTGGGAAGCTGAGCAATGCAGCAGAGTGCCACATCTGGGACACAGTGAATAATTGCCAGGTGAACCAACCTGCACAGGGAACAGGGGTGGAAAAGAAGGACAAAAATCAGTCCCAAGTGATACGCTCATGGGCAGAGATCCTCCACTGCTGTAGCTGAAATAATCTCCCTACCTCCCCCAGCCACCTTCTTCCCACCAGTTTGCATCTTCCAACCCTGCCCTCTCCCCATGGCAGCTCAGCTGCAGGGTGGGACAGAAGCACAGCCTAAGGTCCCCAGGGCAGACCCATGGGGTGACCACAGGGGATGTGACCCACCTCTCCTCCCTTGGGCCACACTGAATGCAGGGGGTTTGCACCCTCCATCTTGGGGAGGATGGCAGAGCCTGAGAAGCATTTTGCAGAGCCCAAGGGCCAGGTCTGGCCATTGAGCAGGAGGTTTGAACTCCAGCAACCGCCAGGGGAATTCCAGTTCCCCACTGCTGGCTCCACACGATGACACTTCTGCTTTCTCCTGTGCCAAGGCAGGCAGCCGGAACTGGGCAGGAGCCTAGTACCAGTGCAAGATCACCTGCGTGGCACAGTCCTTCTGCCAGGCTCTCCTCCAGCCCCCACTGATTTCCTCTTTCCCTTCCACATCCTTCCCCTTTGGTGCCGCTGTGGCAGGACTGGCATGCAGAGGGATACTAGAGTGCTCTAAAGAGCTGGGTACCCTGGTACTCACCGCTGCTGAATGCTCAGGCTGCCCCAGCCCCAGGGTAGATTTCGTTCTCAGCCCACCCTCCCTTGCCCTTCCCCTGCTGCAATGCTTGTGCTGGTTTTGCACTGGTCCTTGCTGTCTCTGAGCAGTCAGAACAGAAGTGAGAGCAGCAGCAGTGGGCCCGAGGGGAATTTCCAGCCCAGCACTACCAACCTGCTGCACCCCGCATGGGCACAGTGTAAAGGAGTAGGACATCCCTCAAAGGCTAGAGGGAGGCAGAAGGGGCTGCAGGAAGGCTGCACAGCCTGAGCAGCCCAGCAAAGCTGCCTCCTCCGTGGATCAAGCCAGTACTCGACACCGCAGGCGCACCTCACCTCAGAGCCCCATTTTCAACAGTGAAACAAGCAAGTTCCCCTTTGCCCTGCTGCCTGTGGAAAAGCTGTGTCCTTGGGGAAGCCCTAGGTCATGCTGCGGGGAATTCCCCGCTGGAAGTAGAGCCGCCCACATTTTGCATCCATGAGACTGCTGGGTGCCCCACACCGCTGACGCTCTGGAGCAGGACAGGGGATACACCAAAACCAGATACAGAAATGCAGCAGTAGCATGTGCTCCACTGCCTTCAGCTGCTTCCCACGGCTCTCAGGCCTGCCAGTGGGCAGGGAGACGCCCCAATAGATTTGCAGCAGGCCAAGGCTGCACTTCGAGATGGCCTTTGCCTGCTGCCAGGGACAGTCCCTGCCTCTCCACGCCTGCTCCCACGTGCCGAGAAGATGGCAGGATGTGCTGCTCTCAGGTATGGCGCAGATAAGCGCGTGCAGCCCGGGGACTTTCCGAAGCAATTCGGGTTGAACTTTAAACCCCTGCCGCTTTCACTTTCCAGAGCCAAACTTGGCTCCCAGGGGAGAGAGCTGCGCCCGGCTAGGGTGAACTGGGGAGGGTACCTTGGAATGCCCCGTAGCATGGGGACAGGTGTGACAGTCACAGGGGGACATGAAAAGCCCAACCCTCTGCCGGCATTCCCCTCTCCCTGGGCCAGGGGCTTTGCAACTCAGCATGTTTGGATATCCATGCTGCAGGAATTGCACAACCAGAGCCCCTTCCCACCAGTCAGATCTCAGGCTTTCCCTTGAAGCTGCTTCGAAAGATCGCTTTTTTCCTTTCACCCGTCTTGCTTCTCCACCCAGGCACAGCCTCCTCCCCTGCTTTCATTTCTGTATTTGCTCCCCTCTTTCCTCATTGCCAGGCCTTAGCTTCCTGAAATGGCTGCAGAGGTGATGAGCTGCTGGGGAATGGTGCAGCAGACACTGGGGCTTGATGAACCCTCTGGGAGTACTTGAGTAGCACCCTTGTTCATGGAGACGTGTGCAACCAGGAAGCATCTCCTGCTAAGCTGAGAAATGTGCCCAGGAGACCCCAGGTGCAGGCTTCATGCAGAAAGCTGTTTTTTTCAGGCCACAGTCAAAAGCCATCCTCTCCGGGATGGCACACAGCAAGCCACCACCCCGGGCATGGGGAAGGAGAGGTGCCCACGTGCTGCCAGAGTGAAAAGTGTCCTGGCCTGAGGATGCTGCAAGCAGAGACATGGGGACAGGGTACAGTGACACCCAGCTTTGACACAAGCAGAGTTCCACCAGTCCTCTGAATAACCTTTGCTATCTCTCTAGAACAGGGGCTGACCATGCAGATCCTTCCACCTATGGAGGACAACAGCTTGTCCTCAGAGCAGCCTCTCCATCAATGTCTCAAGGGACCAGGCATTCAATGGAATTCACCCCAACACATTCTGATCCCTCTCCAGATAAGCTCAATAGGAATGCTTTGCTCTTGGCTCCTTGTTTTGTCTGAGCAGAGGAGGAGGAAATTGTGCACATAATTTGCACAGGAGAAGCTTGTTACCAGGAGGAAATGGCATCAGCAGCAACACAGAGGAGCATGAGCAGGGAGGAAAAGAGAAGGGGAATTCCACACTTACGCTGCTGCCCCGCTCCAGCCTTTCAACCTGCACTGCTAACCGCTTCCTCACACACCAGCCCCAACCTCTGTCAAGCGGCATGGCACTGTCCCACACTGCAGCCCATTGCTGTACAGCTCCATACCTCCCCGCGTGCAGAGGTGGTTCTGCCCTGTGCTGACATCAGGTGAGCTCAGCCTGTCTGCGTGCAGAATGGGGCTCCGCTCTGCACCAGCATCCCTGCAGGGAGGGGGTGTGCAAGAAGCAAGACGGCCTGTCCCAGGAGTATGGAAATCATTTCAAACCCCAAAAGGCCCACTGGCCATGGCAATGCCATTTTGCTCATCAGGAAGCAAGTCAATTCTCCTAGTTCTCACACACACACAGACAGCCTCCCTTCAAAACAGCCTCTTGCTTGTGTACAGTGGCTAGACCTTGCCAGAGCCTGTACAGAGCCATCACTTACAGTCTGGCACACACTGCGAATTGCCACGGGCTGCTCTCTAGATGAAGCACCAGCACTGGGGCTCAGCTCCACCACCCACTCACTGGGGGGATTCCCATCCCTGGGGTGCAGGGCCACCCCATATAGCACCCGGCTCAGACACCATCCTTCACTGTCACATCTGCCTCCTCTCGTATCCACACTGAATGCAAAACCACTCAGACAACCCAGAACTGGCAGAAATCAAAGCTTCCTTCATTAATCCAGCTGAGCTCATGCCTCCCAAGTGGCAACCAAGCAAGGACTGAAAGACCTCCCTGCCCTTGTACTGCCTGACATCAGGCTTCTGCAGCCCAGCACGTGGAAATTTCCAACCCTTTTTCCTCCTCCTGCATCCTGAAGTTCTCTGTGTCTGTTGCCAGCTCTGGGGTAAACCTAAGCATGCGGAAAGTCTGAAAACACTTCCCTGAGCCCAGACTGAAGCCATAGAACAGGGAAAAACATTTCACTGGCATTATCTTGAGAAGCAGGGTTCCCCCAGCATACAGGCAGGAATCTCTAGAGAAGGGCCACGTGAGACGAGGGAGTTAAGATGGCCACATATTGTTGAGTGCCTAAAAACAGCTCTTACCCTGCAGGACAGCCTCACACCCAACCGCTGCCCAAGCAGGCAGGAGCAGGGTGGGAACGCCCTTCTGCTCCACAGTCATGCGAAGCCCAGAGCATCACCGCCAGTGGGAACCCACATTTACCCATGAACAGTCCCCCAGCCCTTGCAAATGCACCTCAGCCCACAACTCACTGGCACATGATTTCTTATCAGCAGACGGGGCAGCACTCATCGCCGATAGGAGGAAGTTGGGCTTCCTCCGCATCTCTCCTTCCCTGAGCAACTCCAGCTCTGTCTCTCCAAGCTAGCAGGGGCTTCCATAAAACACAAGCAAGTGAGGAGATTTTCTATACCTCCCCATCCCACCTCACAGAAGCTGGTCCTACACCCACTCCTGTCCCAGGACATCGCGCTTACACATCTGCCTGGTAAGGCTGGGAGGGAGGGGGTTTCCTCGGCAGCTCCTGACAAAGGCTGTGTTTGTTTGGAAGCCAGAGCACAATGCCGGAGCTGCCTGCACCGAGCTCACCATCCCTGTGACTGGAAAGCCCCTCTCTCGGCTTCCACGCAGAGAGGTCCCATCGGAATCCCATCTAGCAGAACAGGAGCTGGGTTGAAAGGAAGAGACAAATGCTTGGAGGAGACTGCCTGAAAGTGCAGAAGCAGCACGTCTCTATGCCTGACATGGAACAAGCGGGATGCTACACTAAGTGCAGGGCCGTGCCCATGCCTGCCTTGGCAGCTCTGGGAGCTACATGCCCCACTGCTACAGCCCCAACTTCCTCAGGACAGCAGGGGAAGGACCGCAGAGAGGGCTGGGGAGGCTGAGGCTTTTACAAATGATTCTTGGAAGGCTTGTGTCAAGGCACCCACACATCTCAGTGGCCAGCACCCCACACCTCCCCATTAGGCAACTTCCTTCCTACGCCAGCAGCCCCTCTGCCTTTGGGGGGCCCCCCTATGCTCCAGCAGCACTTTGCAAGGACCTATCGGCACAGGCAGCCCCCACTTGCATTGAGCAGAGCGCTGGATGCTCAGCACTGCTAAATATAAATGCTGCCCACCTCCACCACAGAGTCAGGAGGAGAGACAGGAATAGAAAAGGCAGAAGTCCACAGCCCAGCCGCGGCGACCTCAAGAATACATTTCCTTCCCAGCACCGGGAGCAGGCTCAGGAGGCCTTGTGCCAACACCCCCAGCCCCAGTGTACAGCAGGCTCCCGCCTCACTCTGTGCAGATTTCCTGTTCTGAACTGCATCGTAGCTGAGAGAAAACAGGAGAGCAGCTCCAGCCACTGGGAGAGCTCTGAGAGAGTAACTCCAGGCAGGAGATGCCAAGGCACCGCCAATTGATGCTTCCCAAGTTAATGAGCTGTTTGCACTAGGCTCTGGCCAAGCAAGTCAGGCGAGCAGCAGGCTCAGCTGCCCTACAAGACAGACTTGAATGGCACACGCATCCCCAAGCAGCTGCACCCACCGACTGCCTTCCGGCAGCGCTGTTTCCCCAGGCCTGCCCGATGCTCCCCGCTGGCACGCTGGCTGTTAACACTATGGCCGGGGGCGGGGGAGCTGCATGCAGCCAGCCCTGCTTGCTGCCAGACCTGCCACAAATCCTCAGCAGAAATCCCACGTTAATAAGCTAATTAGCAGCAGTGCAGGCTCCCTCCTTAGCAGGAAGTAAACACCGGAGCTGGCTCCCACCTCCAGCAGTCCTGGGAGCTGGTAGCTCTGCCTCCGCGCAGCCCCTTCTCCAGCCCGCTCCTCAGTCGCTATTAAGTCATTGACTTGCTCGTATCGGCGCCCTTTGGTTTCTCTTCCTCCTGCCCTATTACTTAGCATTAAGCGCCAGCCTGGGCTTGGGGCGAAGCTGTGAGAACATTGTGCTCACGCCATGTGTGTTTGTGATTAAACTCCCCGCGGAGGGAACGCAGGCAGAGGGACGTGATGAGCTGAACGCAGCTCTTAGCAGCCAAACCGTGTTACCTTGGAGGGACGCCTCTGACGCTGGGAGCGCTCTGGGCGAATGGAAAGCCCCCTGCCCTGCCAGGAGCTGGGCCTCCCTGTGCCAGAGGCGCCGAGCATCCCCGCGGCTCCCAGGTCGTTCCCCGAGAGCGGACCCAGCCCGCAGAGCGTCGCAGAGCCGCGGGCTTGCAGAGGAGGGCAGGGGCCGCGCACACTTACGTGTCACCGTCCTCCGAGACGTAGGTGAGGGCCTCCAGCTGCCGCCGGTTCGGGCCGTCGGGCGGTGGCGGCGGCTCGGCGGACGGCAGCGCTTCGGGCAGGGCGCCGGAGCCGTAGCTGGAGTCCAGGCGCTCCTCGGAGGGGGTCGGCGGCTCGCAGGGGGCCGGGCTCTCTCCTGCGGCGGTCGGAGTTTCCCCGGCGGGGGTCGGCGGCTCGGTGAGGGTCGGGGTGTCGGCAGGAGCCGGGTTGTCCCGCCCGCCCGGCAACGAGCGCAGGGACTCGATGCCGGAATCGCACTGCCCGTCCTCGCCCTCCCAGCACTCGCCGCCGGCCGGCCGCGCCATCCCGCCGCTCTCAGCGCCCGCCGCCCGCCAGTCCCGGCCCCAGCCCCGGTGCCGGGGGGCTCATGGCCGGAAAGCCAGCGAACGGCCGCCGACTCCGACGCCGCTCCGCGGCTCCTCCTCCTCCTCCCGCCCGCACTGACTCAGCCGCGCCCGGCCCCGCCCGCCCGGGATTCCCCCCACTGCGGGCAGCGGCCCCGCACCGCCTCCGTGGGGCCCTTCCTCAGCCGGGGGCCACTCCCGAGTCTGCGGGGCTGACGCCCGTGTGCCGGGACCGGCAGCCCGGGGCCGCAGCGTGCCCCCCAGGCGGGACATAGTGTGGCCGCAGTCTCCCCCCGTCCTGGTTTGGCTCTTTGAATGGTAGCCGTGTCGCGGTCCCCGTGCCGAGGGGAGATTGGGACTGAGTATAAGAAAAATGTGTTTTACAGTAAGGGTGGTGAGGCAGTGGAGCAGGTTGCCCAGTCCCTGAAGACACATAAGGTCAGGCTGGACAGGGCTCTGAGCACCTGACCTAGCTGTGCATGTTCCTGTTCATCCCAGGCGAGTTGGACCAGATAGCCTTCAAAGGTCTCAAATCAAGGCCATCCAGCCGCATCTCTCAGGGATCTGTGGGCTCTATCTGGTTACCTCCCAGCACCGCAGGCAGTGGGCTTTCCACAGAAGGCAATCTAGATAGCTCTGAACGTGGGTGACGCACTTGGAAATCAGGTTTCACTTGCTGTTTTCATTGCTTTTATTTTCACTTCTTCCTCTCTCACCTGCAAGGTACACACCTTCAGAAGGGGAAGGACCTGCTTGTTCCCACATCTGCAGGAAGCTCACCTGGGTGGCACTGGGCACGTGGATTCAGAGCCGCATGCAGCGTGCTGAGTATTTCCCCTCTTGCTGCAGCCTGCTGCAGGTTTGCATCACTTTCTGAGCATTGCCCAGCCAGGCTTGCATCTGCAGCCCTGCTAAATGCACCCTGCTCCCAAAGTGCCTCCAAGCAGATGGAAAGAGAGGGTTTAGGGTGTGAGGGCAGGGGCAGCATGGCAGCAGGCAGAGGAAGTCTGTGCTGGCATCAGTAACCTCCAGCTGTCCTCCCACGCTCAGGTTCTGTTTTGGTTTCTCTGGTCGTGTCACTGGCTCTGCCTGAATACAAGATGACAACTGCTCAGCTTCTCCCACACCTCCCAGCTCTGCCCGTGGATCTGGGTCATACACTCACGGCACCCCCGTTCGCACCCTGCTGGTGGCTGCAGCCCAGCTCAACAGCGCTGCAGATGTCGTTTTTGACCCTGCTGCACACAGCTGATAACTTGCAGGGCCTCTTATGGGCCTCATCTAGGCCTCTTTTGAGTCTTGGGCTTTACTGAGTTGTCACAGCCAGCCCAAAGCGCAGCACAGAAATCACAAGGGCAGTGATCAGCTTGGGGTCTGCATGTCATAGGCCAAACTCTTACACATCTCCTGTGAGAGCCATTTAGCTCCCCCTTCTTCAAATACTCACAGAATCCTTAGAGTTGGAAAAGACATCTAAGACGATCTGGTCCAACCACCAGCCCGTGCCCACTGACCATGTCTGTCAGTGCCACAGCCACATGGCTCTTGAACACCTCCAGGGATGGTGACTGCACCACCTCCCTGTGCAGCTTGTGCCACTGCATTATCACGCTTCTGGAGAAGAGTTTTTTTCCTAATATTCAACCTGAACCTCCCCTGGAAGTTCTTCCCACACGTACAGAGTTCCTGCTCTTTCAGCTTTGTGTTATCCATAAAGTACTTCCCCGGATGCCCTTACTGGTTTTTATATGGCACTATACTGTACTGTATTACAGCTCTATCATAAAGCTATGACTTGTGGTTTAGAGGGGAAATATTGGTGGTAGGTGGACGGTTGGACTAGACGATCTTAAGAAGTCTTTTCCAACCGTAGTGATTCTATGATTCTGGGCTTTCTACAATCCCCTTCTGCTATGTCACTGAACATCATTATCACTGCAAGTAGACACATCCCTGTTCTTGCGAGGGAGTTGGGCGAGACGGCCTTTAAAGGTCCCTTCCAACTCAAACGGTTCCACGGTCCTATGAAATAGAGAAGGGATCCGTTCCCACTAGAGGTCAGTGTCCGCACACGGCACCGGCAGCCACCCAGCCAGGCTTCCAGCTCGGACGCGGTGCCACGGAGATGCCAGGCCCCGCTGTGCGATTTCCAACACCAGGCATGTCTCGAAGTGCCCTGAACAGCAAGCTAGCTTGCAGGCTGGGTGAACAAAGAACCCAGACGTGCTAACCGCATTTCCCTCTGAACTGGATCCTTCTTGTGGGACCACTGTCTGGTCTGTGAGTGCAGCAGCAGGGCTCCGTTCACCTCTGTGCAGATGGCTGGGAATGCCTCGCTGCGTGTTCATTGACGTTGCTGCGGGCTCCAGAGCCCTCCCAAGGGAGGTGACAGATGTAGGAAGGGGGTGGCAGATGGTCTTGGAGGACAGATAATCAAAAGCAGGCACAGTTGGATGGTGAGACATTGCCTGAGGTGAGAAATCTTGTCACCTGGGGCTCCCTCTGTAGCTGTGGAAGCCAGACACGCTGCCAGAGGCAGGCTGGTGCACTGCCTGCCCCCCAACTGGCTGCACCCTCCCACCTGCTCCACCTCTCCCCTGTTCCCCTTCATTCCAGACCTCCCCCAGCACTGCTGCAGGTGGCTGTCCCACTCCCAGCGAGCTGCACGCGCTGCCAGAGCTATTATTCATGCAGCTCAGTGCTGCTCTCCGGAGAGCCAACGCGCCGAGCTGCCAGGCTGCATTAGGGCTTGTGTCTCTATGCCTGCATCCCTGTAAGCTTGGAATAGACTTGGTCGAGCCACAGCGCTGCAAACAAGGAGCCCAGGAAGGGATTAAGAGAGGAGGGAGAGCTGGCCTGGGAGGCAGAGGAAGGCTGGCATCCTGACATGCAGCATAGAGGGGCTGAGCACAAGTCACAGTGCTGCCACTCGCTGGGACAGAGGGGCCGTCCCAGGTCGGCTCATTGCTTGAGGGGGATGTTAATCATCTGCTGGGGTGCTGCAGAGAGGAAAGCCACTTGTCTGTGTCAGAAACCTCTGTGGAGCCTCACAAATAATTGCAGTGATGGAGAAAAAGCCTCTCTTGGGGCTGAGTGAAAAGAAAACAAACTGCTCTCAGGCAGCTCACTGGGAAGGGAAGGATGGGAGCAGGCGTCAGAGATTTCCCAGGTGTGAAAGGTACCACAGAACACAAGCAGCAGGACCTCACAACATTTCAAACAACTGCACCTAACTGTGCTGTTTCACTATGCTGTTTTAAAAGACCTTCGAAGCTGGTTCCTCACCCACAGGTTGGCAGTTTGGCCAACAGCAAAGAACCCTGCAGGCTTCAGTGGGTTTCCTCTCCACTGCAAAAAAAAAAAAAAGAGGTGAAAAAGGTAAAAATACACTCTCCTCCTCCCAGCAGCCTGGCTGTAGCCAAGGGAAATCTCAGTGATGGCGGACATCTCATGGGAACACCATGCTTGAAGAGGTGAATGGCCAAAGAGCTGTCCGTAAGTCTGAAGAGCAGCAGCAAAAGGCTGCATTTAACTGGAGCAAAAAGCACGTCCCCGCACCCATGCTCCCTTTGTTGCATTGTTGAGGAGCAATTTAATTGGAGCGACACTTTCTGGAAGGCTCAGACAGCTGCACAAAATAGCCTTGAAATGTTTGAATTTAATTGGCTGCAGTCTCTGAGCTCAGAAAATCCCGTGGCCAACACGAGGGGATTCTCTGTGACACACCTTCTTAAGAGAGAAGAAGAGGCAAACCACCAAGAATCACTGATTGCTCAGGAACAAAAGACTGAGGCTTGACCGTGCCTGACCGGTTGGACACAACCAAGCTACAACCAGTATTTATACAGATATGGTGTTACAGAATGTTGCAGCACATTCACTGTAAGCCTATGGTACAAATACTGGAACAAGGAGAGGTATCTGTGCCTGCCTCGTATGACATAAAGCCTCTTTAAAACATTTTCTAGATCTGAAGTGTAGATTTAAATGTCGGGGTAAAAACTGATGCATACTGAACCAGAAACGAAAAGGATATTTCCTGTCAGTGCCAGAGATGGAGGTGTGAGAAGTTTTCTGGATTGACATGTTATGGAAAATGAATAGAGCATACTGCCAATATGACCCAGAGCTTTGTATCTGCCTGGAACAGATATGAATGTCTCTGCAGAGTGACAGATATGGGGTATCTGGAGAATGAACCTGCCAATGTCCCATTAGGGATATTGCTTCAGTTGCCATGTCTTCTTGGGAGATTTCCTGCTTCTCCCAAACTCAGAAATGTCCCTGTACCAGAAATGCACAGCTCTCCAACATCACCTTCTGCTCCAGCATCCCCAAATCCAAGTGTTTTCACTTTAGAGAGAAAGGGTGTCCAGAAGAAGTAATCTGGGAAGCAGGTAACGCCCCTCCTACCCTGCCTTTCAACCAGACACCTTCCTTCATATGCAGCTGGCCACCAGCCTGCAGGAAGGTGAGCAGGGTGGAAAGGACCTATATGTCATATCACCTTTTTTCTGAGGGAACCCTGTGCTCTCTGCAGCACATAGCAACCATGCTCCTGCATTCCCCTCTGAGCACAGAAACCTGCCATGTGCCTCTTTCGATGGCTGGGAACTCACACATTTCAGTCGAGACAGAGCAAGTCACAGAACTTCTTGGTGACATCCCGACTCAGAAATAGCAAAGCTGGGGCTGTGCTTATCAATGGTGTCTCTGAGATACAGAAACTGTTCTGCCAGGGTCAGAAGACATTCGATACAAAAAAAAAAGCATCCTCCTGGATCACTGGTAGTTGCAGTACGCACTGATAAGAGATGTATTGCATGGATGGCTCCGTAGGGTTGGTGGCAGTCACCATCCCACCAAGCAGAGAACAAACCAAAAATAGGCAAGCCATAGCAAGCAGCTCCCTGCAGTCTGTGGTGCTATTGAGGAACTCCTTGCCAGTGTACGTGCAGAATGTCAGAGTCAAAATTTACCACTGATTCAACAGTGAATGGACAAATTCACTGGAGTAAAAGCCACCGTGGTCTGAATACAAAGATGCAGACCTGTACCACTCTTTTTCTCCTCCATCCACACTTTTTGGGTGACTTTCCCACATCTGGGAGAACAACAGTGAACAGAGAACAACTGATCCTGGAGGACAATCGTCTCACACACTCCTGTTGGTCCACCTGATGTCACTTCCCTCAGGAGTCCCCATCACTGTATAAAGCAGCAATGCATATATGCATGCAGATGATCTGCAAATGTCTGCTAGTGTGCGTGTGATAATGCTTAGAGTTGCTGCAGACACCTTGGCTGGAATGGGTTGTGCCATGGTGCACACAACACTGAGTTCTCGGCAGCACAGGAATCAGCACAGAGGATGGCTGACACCCTTTGGGAGCCAAAACCTGCCTGCAGGATTGGGAAAGGGGTGCCTGAAAAAGAGGCAGTGAAATTCAGAGCAGGCTGTTCCTGCGTGCTGCTGTTCCCATGGAAACAGGGGAACGGAGAGAGGAAATCCATCCCAGCCTCTTTGGAAGGCAGCTCCCTAGCATCGCCCCGCTGCCACACCTGTCCCCACGGGAAGCAGTGGCTGCAGTTCTCCCAGGTCTCCTCGAGTGAGATCATGAGGCCTACAGATGTTTCCTTTCTTGTCTTAGGCAGCAGAGAAAACACGCATCCCAGCCCCAAGGCTGAGCCTCAGAGCTTGCAAAAAGTAAAGCAATTTCCAGCAAATTCTGCAGCTTATGTGGGGAAATCCAGGTTATGGAGTCACTGCCCCTGGAGGTGTTCAAGAAATGCACAGATGTGGCACTGAGGGACACAGTTAGTGGGCATGGTGGGGATGGGTTGGTGGTTGGACAAGATGATCTTAGAGATCTTTTCCAACCTTTGTGATTCTATGATTCTATGAAAAGTCAGACACGTATTTCCCAAGGCTGGCATGGAGGCAGGTCTGTACCTGCAGTATCTGGATCTGGGCCCTTCCTGCGCTGCGTGCATCCCCTGAGGATGCTGCTGTCTCCCAGTCCCGATCCGGGATCTGTTAGGCGGCGCCAGCAGTGCCAGCTGGCCGCATGACAACCTCCAGCCAAGTTATCCCCAGGAACTGGCAAAACGCAGCCAGAGCTCCCGCACGTCGCTGTTCCCAACCGGGAGCGGGGGCCCTCGGCGAGGCGGGCAGCGGGGCTCTCCCGTGCGGCTCCGCTGCCCAGGGGCTCGGGGCGGCCGTGCGGCGCTCCCCGCATCCCCTCCTCAAGGTGACCCGCCGCTCCCCCCCTGCCCCCCTCCATCTCTGTCCCCGTCCCCCTCTACGGCGTCCCTCCCACCGCGGCTCCGCCCGCCCTCCGCTGCGCTGCGGCGGGGCCGGGGGCCGGCGGGCGGCGAGCGCTGCCGCCGTGCCGCGGCTGGAGCCGTGCCGCGGTGCGGCTATGCCGCCGCGCCGCCCGCCCCGCCGCCCGCCCGGGGACCGGGGAGGCAGCGCCCGGCGGCGGGCAGGATAATGCGGCTGCGGGCCGGAGCCGGAGGCGACGCCAGCGGGGAGCCCCCGCCGCCGCCATGTCCCCCCCGGCCTCGGCGGCCGCGGCCAGCGAAGGAGGCAGCAGCACGTCGGTTCCGCCGGAGGAAGCGGAGGGGGTCCGAGAGGAGGTGAGGTGCCCCCAACCACCCTACCCGTCTGCATGGGGCCGGCTTTGCATGGCGCGCTCGCTGACCGCCCCGCCGCTAGCCGCGCCGCGCCGTGCCCGCACAGGTACGGACCCCCGAAGCCCCCTCCCCTGCCGCGGCCCCGCTGCCCCGCGGTGCCGCCCGCACCCGCTCGCTCCGGCCCGGCCCCGGCGCGGCTGGAAGGAGCGCAGCAGACGGGAACGGAGCCTGGATGTGAATGCCGGGGATGGGGGGAGGAACGTGGACCGTCACAAAAGGAGAGCGCGAGGCTTTGGCTTGCTGCAGTGGGGAGAGGTGGCCGTGCTTGGGAAAACGAGTCCCCCTCTTCCTCGCCCCTGCCTTGGGGGGATGCGGGGGAAGACGCGGCCGGCAGCGGGGTGAGCCTCTTTGTCCCACCCCCAGATCGGGCTTCCCATGGGGATTAGGGGCCACCGCGGTCCCTGGAGAGCAGCGGCATCGCAGGGAGAGCGGAGCGCTCCTCACCTGCGGGAGGCGGCGAAGGGCAGCGCGGTGGGGGTGCGCGGGGCTGCGCATCGCCGTCCGCTGCTGCCGGGAGCTGCGGTTGGCGGTGCTGCGTAGTGCCGTGTTCTCTGCCTCCTCGGCTTGGGGAGAACATACGTGCGCGTGGAGTTGTCCTACATACACAGTCGTGTATTTAGATATAAATAACTGTGGGAGAGGAATGCTGAAGTTCAAGGTCTGGGGAGCTGTGCACATAGAGTGTACTCTGAGGCTCTTCCTCAGCTCCCGTTTCCTGCTGCTGTCCAACAACCCCTGAGCCCCGGGGCTCCAGACAGAACCTGAGCAGCATGGTGCTTCAGTAGGGCAAATACATGCATGTATCACTCCTGGACATGGTCTCTTGTCTCCTGTGCCCTGCCAGTGCTATGTCCAAGGGAGCATGTTGCCTTCCAAGAGGTGCCACCATAAGAGCTGGGTTGGATGACACAAGTGCAGCATGGGTGAGAATCTTTGGCCTCCAGCATCCCCTGCCTCACAGTCATGAGAAGGTGGACCAGGCTGTGTTGGCTCTGCAGTGGCTGCTAGTCATGTTGTCAGTGTGGTTGTGCTCAGTGGGAGCAGACAGCAGGGCTGGAGTCTGTGACCTGCATGCGTGGGGCTAAGGGCTCGCTTCCCTCAGTCAGCAACTGCCATGGAGCTGCCATGGGGAGAGGGAGGCTGCATCTTCTCCTTACATGGATGTTTGGGGTCTGGAAAAGGGGAAATGAGATCTGTCCTGTCTGAAGGTGCCTTATCTCTATGTCTCAGGTCACTGTACCTAGGAGCCCCGTAAGTCTCCAGGGCCCTTTGGCTCATCCCAGCAAGGCACACAGTGAGCCAGAGCTAGCTGTAGAGGAGCTGCTGTTCCATCCAAGCACTTGCTTCCTGTTGGCATCACAGGCATACACCTACACTTAGCAGCGCCGCACTGAATCTCTCTCAGCAACACATTTCCACCCATCAGGTTATGAAATGTCAAGACACAGGCTCTTCAGCCTGAGGACAAGCTAAAAAATTCCCTCATCCTACTGCTGAGATGGAATGCAATGGAGGGAACTGGTTCTCTTCCAATTGTAAAATGGAGACCTTGGGCCCGTCGCAGGAGCTGACTGCTGGCAGGGTTCCCTGCCTCCTAGATATTCTGCTTCTCCTTTTCCTCTGCAGTTGGCAGCACTGCCAGCCTGGGCCGAACCAGCTGCTGCTTCCAGGGAAGCGGTTCCTGAGCTGTGATGGTGAGGTGTCATTTGGGCCCAGCTGGGATCCTTCTGAGCAGCAGTGGCCATTGTTTGCACAGAGCACAGGAGGATGGTGGCAGGTCTTAGAAGTGTCAGGGTCCTGCAGCGCTTCTGGTGTTGTTCAATGCTCAACAGAGCTGCAGGACCCCAGAGGTAAGGGCAATAAAGGGACTTCTGCTATGTGCTTGGCCATCAGGGTTTTGGGCAGGGTTATCCCCTTGAGGGGGATATTAAGGATTCCCCAGGTATCAGTATCAGCAAATGCTCAACAGAGCTCAGCTCAGCAATGGGCCCCTCTTGGATGCTGCTTCTGCCCTGTGCATTGTGGACATTTCAGTTTCATTTGTGGCCGCTCATAAGTCATCCCACCATCCTTTCCTGTCCTCCCCCAAGCAGCAGCTGCAGGCGTAAGGATCCATCTTCTTTCACCTCAGGGTGATGTCAGAAGACTGTGTGTGAGGCCCACGGGATCCACCTGCCCTTGCCCTTCCCAAATGCACTTTACACACATGAACAGAGAAAGGTGGTTTTTGCAGGCATTGGGGAGGTTGTGCAGTGGGACTGGAGAAGGCGAGAGGTTGGTTGGGGTCACACAGAGGTGTTGGCCCAGCCAGGGCTGACTCCATTCTCTCTCCAGCAGAGGTGTTGGGGTACACCTGCATAGCATATTTGCTCCCCTGTCCAATTCAGGTGTGAGCAGTGGAAGTAGCTCATGGTGACACGGGAATACCCTGCTTGCAGCAGAGCAGGGCAGGCCTTCACCTCATCCCACCGGACTGCAGCAAGCAGGCGACTGTGGCATTTATGTCACAGCCTGCGCTCCTATGAGTGACACCATTCTGGGACAGAAAGGATTTCCCTGTCCCCAGCTTTCTCATCTTCATGTTTTCATTTGCTGCTCTGGGCTTCTGCAAGGTTGGGTGAGAGCCCAAGGAGGTGACCTTATTCAGCAGCTTCTGTGGGGAAGCCTTGGAGCTGGCTGCGTGCTCCCATGAGCCCTGTGCAGCCCTGGAGAAGAGCAGAGATGCTGCATTTCCAGCCAGGATTAGGCTCTGCAGCTGGCTCCTCCTCCATCTCTGCTGTAGTTGTATCCCTTTATTGGCACTTGTTCGGCTTTCAGAAGCCCCACCGGTGCCACTGATGCATATGTATTTTACCTCAAAAGCCTAGAACAAAATGGGAATGTAAACAACATACAGCAGGGGTTAGTGTGACCCTGTAAAAGCGCTGCAGTGTCTGAATGCTGCGTAGTCTTAGGAGGAGACTACTGTGTGGACTAGAGCCCTGCTAACATAGTTCCTGGAAGCGAGCCGTGGCTGCATCATCCTCCTGGTGCCATGCCCTGGGTCCCTACCTGCAGCACGCTCTGCCTGGAGCTCTGCAGGGCTCTGGCCACATTGCCCTTCTGCTGAGCAAGACCAGCAGCCGGCTCTGCACCAGCTGCTGCTGGGGACAGCTTGCAAGGCAGAAGGCAGCTGGGGCAGAGGAAATCTTCAGCTGCTGGAGTGGTGGCATGAGAGCTGTGCTGTGTCAGGGCCGAGACCCTCATGACTGCAGTGAAGGTTTGAGAAAGCAGGACACAGCTCAGGCAGCTCTGCAAGGTATCCCTGCTTCATCTCCCTGCTCCAGGTTCTCTTCCCACAGTTCGCATCTTTCCCAATGTGATGCTGCTGTAGCTGGGGGTTGCATTGGGAAGAGTGTAGGGTGCCTATTCTCCCAGGCAGAGCTACCTGCAGTTCTCACTGCTGCCTGCAGAGCAGGACTGTCTGCATGCTTTCCTCAGATCTGTGTCCCTGCCACTAGCTCTTGCTCTCAGCAGGTTACCACAGAGTGAGGTCTCAGTGCCTCCAAAGGTTGGGACCCCCCAGAGGGAAGTGCCATTGTTCTCTTCCTGGTGCCAGCATCCGTTTGATGCATGGCTGCCTGCTCCAGTCATGACAGACAGGCAGCAGGGAAGGACAGCACACTCCCTCCAGGAGAGAAATCTCTGCTGGAGTTGGGCTGGAGCCAGTCGTGCTGCTCACTGTGGCTGTGGTCCCATAAGGGAGGAAAGATTGGTGTGTAGGGCTCCAGGGGACCAAGGTAAGGGCTGGGATGCTCTTCAACGAGAGAAGGGGGAATTTATGGAGGAAATAAGAGGTCTAGATCTTTTTCCAGGCCTGCCAGTGCTCTGTGATCTCTGGTTCTTCCTAAAATGTTATTTTTCATGCCAAGAGTGAAAGTGACTTCATCCTTCCTGGCAGTGGGAATCCACTAAGTTCTATGGGATCTTCAAATGACAGGCTTCTGGCATCCAGTGGCTTGGGAAACAGGAGGACAGTGGCTGGACTGTGGAGTCGTAGTCTGCAGGGGTTCCACATATCCTCAGTCCTGCCCTGGTTCTGCAGTGAGCCTGCTGGCAAATCCAGGATCAGAGAAGGGATGGTGCCAAGCTTGAGGATTGTTGCCATGAATGGTGACATTACAGCTGGCAGTAATGCAAAGGTGCAGGTGAGCTCAGGAAAGGGCAGCATGGCTCTGATGTCTTTAGCCACTGACATCCAGAGGGAAGCTGGGCTCAAGGTATAAGTAAGGCATACAGAGAGAAGAGTGTCTGAAGCCATCCATGCTGCGTGCAGTTGGAGAAGATGGGCAAAGCTGAAAGCTGAAAGCTGACATCTGTGGCATGTGCCCAAGGCTGGGCTTCTTATCACCTCTTTCGGGACATACCTTTGGGGATTGCTGTGTTGGATGACATCTATGCTGGACAAAGTCTTTTTGTATGAGAAAGTAAATTGCTTCTTTGCATGTCATTTCTTTGGGTTTGATAATGTCAGTCTCATTGACCAAACAAGCAACATGATGGATCAATATTCAAAACTTCAGGATATTGGAGAATGTGTCAGATGTTTCCTTAGGTAGGGGGATTTCACAGGTCTTTGTGAATGCACCAGTGCAATCACTTTAAGAAGTGCTATTGCTGAAATCCTGACCTTTAATAATCGCTGTAGACCTGAGAGCAGTTTTTCTGTAAAGATGGGCTTTCTCACTCAAAACCCAGTGCACACAATTTGCTGCCAGCCATGCCCTTATGTCTCGCTTCTCCGAGCTGTTGCAGGTCTGTGGGGTGTTCCTCACTTCCAGTCCGAGCATCTTTTAGGATGCTATTCAATACTGCCTTCTCTCTATCCAGAGGTGGCTGCACTTCAGTCAGCCACCGGTTTGTGTTGTTTCTGAAGCATTTCAGAAGCACTTTGGAGCCTCTGGGCTGCTAAGTGGTGTAGTGAAGATCACTATGGCCAGAAGCCTTCCCTGCTGCAAAGGTCTCTGTGCTGTAGGTGCTCCAGACCACTTGTGCTGACCTAGCAGGAGCAACTTGAACTGAGTAGTGATTGGGAAAAGGGGACTTGTGTGCAAGGGGACGCAGACATAGTGGGATGAGGTTCAGTGTGGTGTTTGGAGGAGAGGAGCCATCATTGGAGCTGGCTGCATTGGTGGGACTGGTGCAGAAAGCTGGGGCATGCAGAGGAGATCCACGAGCTTCCATCTTGCTGTGCTTGACATCTGTTTCCCATGGCATCCTGCTGCCTGCTTGCCTTCCTCTTGTCCCTCCAGCCTACTGACCTCTCCTCTTGTTCTCTCTCCCCTTCTCCTGGCCCTCTGGAGCAGCAGCGGCCGGTGAAGCAGTCTCTCAGCAAGTCGCTGTGCCGAGAGTCCCACTGGAAATGCCTGCTGCTGTCACTGCTGATGTATGGCTGCATGGGAGCCATGACGTGGTGCCACGTCACCAAGGTGACCCGGCTGACCTTTGACAGTGCCTACAAGGGCAAGTCCATGATGTACCACGACAGCCCCTGTTCCAATGGCTACGTCTACATCCCACTGGCCTTCCTGGTGATGCTCTACGTGGTATACTTGGTGGAGTGCTGGCACTGCTACACCCGCAACGAGCTGCAGTACAAAGTGGATGTGGAAAGCGTGCACGAGCGAGTGCAGCGGATGCAGCAGGCGACCCCGTGCATCTGGTGGAAGGCCATCAGCTACCACTATGTCCGGAGGACCCGGCAGGTGACCCGCTATCGTAATGGGGATGCCTACACCACCACCCAAGTGTATCACGAGCGGGTCAACACCCACGTGGCAGAGGCCGAGTTTGATTATTCCAACTGTGGAGTCAAGGACATCTCCAAGGACCTCATTGATTTGGAGAGCTACCCAGCCACACGGCTCCGCTTCACCAAGTGTTTCAGCTTTGCCAACGTGGAGTCAGAGAACTCCTACCTGACCCAGCGGGCCCGCTTCTTCACCGAGAACGAGGGCCTGGATGACTATATGGAGGCCAGGGAGGGGATGCACCTCAAAAACGTGGACTTCAAGGAATACATGGTGGCCTTTTCCGACCCAGACAACCTGCCTTGGTACGTATCCCACTATGTTTTCTGGGTGGCTGCTCTGCTGACCCTATCCTGGCCCCTGCGGGTGCTAAATGAGTACCGCACTTCCTACGTCCATTACCACGTGGAGAAACTCTTTGGGTTTGACTACGTGGCGGTGACACCGGCTGAGGAGCGCTCCTTCTGCCGGAGGATGCCCCGCGTCAACACGGTGGACAGCACCGAGCTGGAGTGGCACATCCGATCCAACCAGCAGCTGGTGCCCAGCTACTCGGAAGCCGTCCTGATGGACTTGGTGGGGTTGTCCGGCTGCACCAGCTACTCCGCGTGCCGCTACGGGGGCTACCGGCAGAACTGCGAGCGGTGCCACAGGACTATAAGCAGCTCTTCCATCTTCTCCCGCAGCGCCCTGAGCATCTGCAACGGCAGCCCCCGCATCCCCTTCAGCAGCAGTCGCTTCTCGCTGGGCCGCCTGTACGGCTCACGGCGCAGCTGCCTCTGGCAGAGCCGGAGCGGGAGCCTGAATGAGCAGAGCTGCCCCACGGAGCAGACCCGCCTCTCCAGCCAAGTGACGGTGGAGGAGGAAGACCCCCCTCCTTATCAGGACGCCCTCTACTTCCCCATCCTCATTGTGCACCGCAATGAAGGCTGCCTGAACCACGACCACCGTCACCTCCACCGCAACGGGTCCTGTGTGGAGACCTCACTGTGAAGGCGGAGGGCAGTGGGATCTCATTGCCGAGGGCCTGGCCTGAGCCAGCGCGGGGTTTGAGAGAGGAGCACTGGGGAGGGAGGTGGCCCAGGAGGAAGAGGTGGGATGGAGCAGTGGCTCCGACCTCTGGAGGGGTGAGTGATGGCGCTTCCCTGGCCTGGCACAGAACTCTGGATTGACCACCACATGCAAAAAAAAAAAAAAAAAAAAAAATCATCCTAAAACCGTAATTCACAGCATCAAGATCCAGAGCGAGGAAGAAAAAGACAGGCCTGGCACGGGAGGGGGTGCTGCAGTGGGTGTTCCATCCCCAGGCTGGCGTGTGCTTGGAGGAAGCAGCAACCAGCAGACAGACCCTGCTGCACCTCGCTGCCCTCCTCCCCCTGCTGCAGCCAGACCCAGGGTGGGGGCACTGACCGACAGCTTAGAGAGAAGGCTGAGCACCACAAATCCAGCTTCGCCTGACCCCCAGCTTGTACCCCACCCTCCCCGTTTGTTTTTTAGACCATGCTCCGACTGTTACATGCTCTCGCTGGGAAAGGCATCACCTCTGGAGGACACCAGGTACAGCTCCTTAGAAAGCTTTGGCACTCTGAGTGTCAGCATCCCCTGGGTAAAAGACTGCCTGTTTGGGATAGCCACGGACAGGCAGCCCTGGGTGCCTCCAGGTGGAATGGAGTGCGGCAACGCTGATCTGCTGACTGGAGGAGGGCTCAGCTGGAAGGAGAGTGAGAGGTCCCTGTGAGCTGGGGAAGGGGAAGGGATGGCACTGGGACAGCAGCGCGTGGATGTCAAGTTGGCATGTCAATTGGTGGAGGTCCCATTGTACCCCCAGTAGCTTTAGACGTGCATCAAGGAAGGCTCTGGCCAGTTCAGCTGCAGATCAGCTATTGATAGTAGACCAGCAGGGTGGTGCATGTTTGCAAGAGGGAATTTTGCACAAAATTAGGCTGGTTTCTGGCTGCATTCCAAGCTGCAATCTTCTGGCAGCATGGTTTTGGCAGGAAATTCTAAGGGGCAGGGAGGGAGAAATGCAAAAACACACTGGAGCGTTGGGAACCCCAGACTGGGGACATGGGGAGCAAAGACAGCCCTCTTCCTCAGGCTCATCACACTTCCTTCATCCACCTGGGCAGGTGATGGCCAAGAGCAATGTGTCATGGATTGCAAGAGCAAGTCCATTAGCTTGTGGTCATTTGGACATTCACACTGTCAGAAGTAAACCAGCAAGGCATTAACAAAGGATCTGTTTTTTCAGCCATGCTGCATTGCTTCACCTACAGGTCATGGAGTCTTGGGTGAAGATGTCTTGTTCCACCAGATCAGCCCATGTTAGAGAATCATCTCCAGTGATGAAACTGACCTATTGCAGGATCCTTCTCTAACATGTATCACATCTCTGTAGGATACAAAGACAAGCTTTGAGAGATCACATCCTTAGGATCTGTAAGGCTTTGCCTCCAGAGCGGTTCTTTTCCGCTGTTCGTGCTGGTGTGCCCTGGACAGTATCTCTTGCCCTTCAAGTCAGTTTGTCCTCCTGGATCTCAAGGGCTATGCTCCAAACAACAGTGGTTTGAACAGAAAATCTCTTAAAATCTTACTCTGTTATGCTTCTGTCTTGTAACCTACCCTTATTTTAACAACCAGACATAGATGTCTGAAATAAGAGGGCCTCCATAAGAACCTGGAAGCACTAGCTCTCTGGTGTGGGCACATCCTCCTCTGCTTTTTGTTCCTGGTATTATTGGCACAAATTCAGACTGGGTGGAAGTGGATACCACCCCACTCACTGCCCTGGGATTTCTGTGCTCAGTGATTGGCCCATGGCTCGCTAGGTGCTTGTGCTTCTTTTTCCAAGGGCATAATGCAAGCCCAAGCCAGTGCTGAGTGTCCTCACAGTGTGCATGGGCTTTTATGTCCTGGTGAATCAGGAGACGTTCAATCAGTGGAGCTGCACTGGGTCACTAGTGAGGAATTTGTGTCCTTTCCAATATAGTCTCTTTGAAATCTTCCACACATTGCTTAAATCAGGCTGCAGTATAGCTAGCCCCCAAGTTGCCTTGGACAGATGGATTCAGCAAAGGTTTGGCAGGCATTTTAGTTTCCCTAGGGCACAAAAAGTCCTCTGAAGAGGGACTGTGCCCTGCCCTTTAGAGTTCTGCTGGTCCCTGGCTCTCTCTGGGCTTCTTCATGAGGTTCTTCCAGGAGCAGAGTGCCCCACACTCTAGAAGGCTTTGATGTTTTCAATATGCCATTGACCCCTTGCAGCTTTCCATGGGCTAGGAATCAGACTCAGGTTGCACTTGCCCGCAGTTTTCCTCTTACACTGGGATGGGGGAGGTGGGAGCGCTGCCAGCTCCTTGTCCTGGCACTTCACATTGCTGACATGTCCCTAGAAGAGAGCTCTTCTACCCTGTCACAAGGCTGGAAAATGTATTTGCACTGTTTGGCGTTTCCTTTTGCTTCCAGTGTAGCTGCCAGAAGCTCTCCAGCTTTCATGAACTAAAGAAAGAATGAGCAAGCGAGGAGCTCTGGGTTAGCTGACCTCCAAGGCACATCACCACCCATTTATCTCTTTCAGCACACACTAGAAATTTCTCAGATAGCGTCCAGCACACCTCTGCCCTCTTTGGTGGCTTTCTCCATTCATGCTCGAGAGGCTCCAGTGCTGTTTGTGGATGCCTGTGTGGAGGAGACTACAGGATGAGGCTTATTAAGAGGAATTTTAAGAAAGTTAGGTAGCATGTGATGGCAGTAAATCATTGCCTGCTGATTAGCTTGTGGAAAGAAGAATACCTTTTAAGCATTCCTTCCAGCCTTTCCAATTATGGCTTTGGTACTGCTGTCTAATTTCACCAGGATGCTGCCTTACTTCCAGCAGGGCAAAATTGCTGCAATGTGCTCCTACTCTGCTGCAGCATCTGTAGGGTACATTTCCGAGACATGGCAATAGCACTGAGAAGTCGTGCTACCAAAGAACTGTAATTCTCAACTTGTGGCATGGGCTTCTAATCATGTTTCATGTATATTCAGTGGTTACAATGAGGTCTGTGTGAATATGAAGATGGGTCTCTACGAGAGCGATTTGGATCCGTATTGTCACAGAAATGGGTTACGGTTTAGATGTTAGCTCTGTTTGGTAACACTGCCTCCTGCCTTGCATGTGGGCCTATAATTTCCACTGAGCCAGGTATACCTGGGGACTGAAGGCTGTAGGGCCTGGGAGCCCATTAAAGGCTTAGGGATGAGCCCACTCAGGGTTCTTGTTTCCATGGGTGTTCTGGAAAAATGAGAAAGGCGTTCAGTCACATTTCAGATAGACATACATAGGCTGCATTCATTCCTAGTGTAACTTTCTTGAAGCCCGTGGTGCTATGCCAGTGCGAGCATGGCTTAGCAACTCTTCAGAGTGATCTGTCCTTGAATCCAGACAAACTGTGCTGTTGCAGTGTTGCTTTGAAGCACAGAGCTCACACTGGGACTTGGCCAACATGAATGGATGTTGAATTTCTACTGTCTTTCAAGCAATGGGTTGAATTGTTCTGCTTTGCTGCCTCCATCACAGCTGCTCCATGAAGGGAAACATTACACTCATGGTTGTGATCTTGTTTACTCCCTCAAAAGCCAGCTAATGAGAAAAGTGACCTATGCTGTAATGGGAGAGGAGACTTCTCCCACAGGACTGCAGCCTTTCTACATGCAAAGGGAAACGAAGTTCCAAGGACAGAACTGAACCTGCAAGACTCATGGCCTCCCCTTCTTCCTTCCCTCTTCACACCATCTGTCTCACCTGGGGAAGGACAGTTTCCTTGTGGAGTTCAGCAAGCTCCTCTTCCTGCAGCCCACAACCAGGCTCTACTGTCAGATGCATCACTAACCTATGCAACACTTCCAGGTACTGCCGAGTTTTGAGGAGCCCATGACAGTATGCAGCATGTTCATCCAGCACTGAGAATAAGCACAGCTGCTGCTGGAAAGCTAACCGGCTTTTATTCCTCCCCTCTTTCCAGTGGAGACTGTTTTTGTTGGGGCCTTTTGTTTGGTTGTTTTTTTGTAAACCTCCAACTTCTAGGGAAATGAAGCTCATGAGAAATCAGTGCCCATCCTGAAGCCTCTCCAATCCTTTGAACTTTGCAAGTGGATGCATTGCCTGCTGTGGTTATAATGTAGTGGACTTCATAGAGCAAAGTAACTTCACACACAGACACGAGGTTCTTTCACTCTCCATCAGTGCAAGCTGCTTCTGCAATCTTAGCTACTTACATTAGTGAAAGAAAAAAGCCTAGCTAGAATGTGTTGAGATGACTTAGTGTTTTATATCAGTCCCACCATCCAAATATCCATTAACAGTGCTGTCAGCCGGCATGCCATGAGTTCAGACTTTGGGTGGCAGCCCACGAACCCTGTCGGGGTGAAAAGGTTTGGAAGACCCACTCCTAAGTCTGTGCACATCTCCAGAGCACATGCAGAGAGGGTGTCAGTTGAAAGCAGACATCCCTCTGGTTCAGCACGAGGAGAAGTGGTTGGCTGTTATTTGGGTGCACCTCCAAGGGTAAGTCTGGATGTGTTGGCGGCTTTGGTCTGGTATGTCCCCTTCAGTCCTGTAGAGAGTGGGTTGCAGCGTGGCAGGGCATTGCTTAATGATCTGTGAGAGGAAACTCCTGACCTGGTTTTTGCAAGAAGATGGTGCAAAGTGTCACATTTGCTGCAGTGACTGGCAGAGAGCAGGGATAAAAGCATGGAACAAGCTGTGTTTGAGATGAAGCTAATCCCTTGCTGGCTGGCTGAGAGGAGAGAGCTGTTGGATCTGCTCCCTGCCCAATGCTCTCCAGCTCTTCTCACCCTCCTCAAATCCAATGCAAAAACTAGCATTACTCCAAGCTCCCAAATCGCCCCTCTTCCATCAGCTCCTTCTGGGCCATGAGCTCACACCATTCCAGTCCTCTCCTGGGAGATGTCAGTGGACTCGTAGTGACCTCAAGCATAGGGCAACCTATGGACAACCTGCCAGTCTGGCTGCACTGCCTCGAGCATTGCTCGCTGAGCACCACTTACATGCCCTGTGCCCACAGAGGCTGACTGAGAGCAGCTGTCAGAGGCTTTGCGGATGTGGGGATTTCTGTGGGAGACATGAGGCAAGGCAGGGCAGGAGGCTGCTATACTGCAGCAGCTGTGTTTTGGGTCAAGGATGGAGAAGACCTGGGGCAAAGTGGACTTTCAGGGTAAGCCCTTCCTGCCTGAAGACACATTGGATGGAGGAGGCTTTTCCCAGCTGAGGTGCCCAGGCAGGGCCTCACTGTGTCGTCAGAGCAACACTGCTGCCTCCAGGACCAGCACTGACAGCTGGAGCACGTGTCACAAACCGCAATGGATAATGCAGCCACAAGGTGTAAATGTCACTAATGAATAAATTGCCTTGTGCCTGGGAGAGGCTAATCCATCATGGCCAGGGACAGGGATGTGATAGGGCTGGCTATTTCGGGCACAGCTTGCAGGGAGGATTCGCTTCACATCTCTGCTGTCCCCTCTGCCCAGGGAGGTTGATGTGAAGCCTGGCTCTGTGCTGCTTCCATCTACCCAGACACACCAGTTCAGGCCTCAGCCCTCTCCACTGTCACCAGAAGAGGGATTGGGCTATGTCCCCTCTGTCAGGAGACACAGCTGGCTCTACTACACCATTCCATAGGTCAGGCACAGTCCCCTTCTCCCTCCCCTGTATCTGAATACCACTCAGCAACACCGTGGCTGGCTGTGCTTATGGCCAGCATGTAGGCGACAGGCAGGGATGGAATTCAACACAGACAAATCCAGCCCTGCCGAAGCAAAGGGATGCTGAGTGCAGTACCAATCCCCACGCATCCTCCTGCTCCTCCACCCCCAGCTGGTGCCTGAAAGCAGCCTGCCATCCTGTTGGCAACATATGCCAGTACGACACCTTGCAAACCTCCATTGCTGTGAGCGGAAGCCAAGAGGCTCAGGAAGCCGCCACCGGCTCCTCACCCTGCCTGCACGAAGCACGGCTCACCATCTGCTGTGACTGCCAGCCAGCCCCCGGCACCTCTATCATTCCTCTGCCTCCTCCTCCATCCCCCCATCAGTCTGACGCAGACCCACATATGTCCCATGGGCTGGATGCTCCCAGCCTGCATGGGTACCTGCGGCTGGTGCTGCTCGCACCTGTAATCCAGCCTGAAGGTGACGAGTGACCCAACAGCAATGGCAGCATCACACAGAGAAACTGCTGGTGCTATCAGCTGTAGGGGCTTTAATTGTTACCAATTCATCCATAATTTGAAGCCTCGCACACTGGCGGTAATAGGCTGCTGGTCTCTTGTCGTGTCCAAGCAGTACAGAGGAGGCACACAGCCCAGGAGCATGCTTGGATGGTGGTTAGGTGGTGCTGGCAGTCTTGGCTGTGTGCAGCAAAAGGAGCCGAGAGCATTCTGGAAAGCAAGTCAACGTTTTTTCAGGTGTTGCATCTTTCACAAGCCCTTTTCTTTCCACCCTTGCTCCTCAGTGGCTGTGCTGGCCAGTGCGTGCGCCATCCCATCCCTGCCCTCCTGGCATCAGCCTTCATCACACAACTGGCTGTCCAGCATGGTCCTGTATCTGGAGCTACCTGTGGGCTTTCCCAGGGCCAGACACTCCCATTAAGCCCCCAACCCACCCTCACTGCTAGAGCTGCTCCTTCAGCCTGAAGCTGACCTGGGTCGTCTTTTCTGCTGTTCCTGAACACGAGTTCTCATCTCATTCAGGTGTGTCATTCAGTGGAAATATTTTGTAAATGCAAATAAATCTATTCAATACCTCGGTTTCGAGGATGTAACAACAAGTAGTTGGAGGAGCCCGGGTGGGAAGGTTTCGCAGCAACTGCCCCTGGCTGTATTTTCTTGCAGATGTAGCCTCTGAAGCATCCACAAACGGTTCAGAAAGGCACTACAATACTCTGCAAGGGCTCTGGGGTGACCCGCAGGGCCCCTCTGTGTGGCTGCTGGCAGCGGGGACAGCCTCACACTCGATCCTTTCTGATCTATATGGCCATGGATGGCATCAAGCGGGTGGCCTGTGTCCATCAGGCAGAGCAAGGCACAAGCGGGTACACGGTGAACAAATTATTTTGTGAGCACTGGGAACAGTTTTTACTCTTCAACTATGTCAATATGATCTAGCTCTGTCCGTCTCTCTATATATGTACAAACAGTATATCACAATGTTGCCTTTTTTGTTGGAAATATCAAAGTACAAAGATTGTAAACCAAATCGGTGTAATAAAAGTTTCAGATGACTCATGGAAGCGGCTGTCAGCAGTGGGTCTGTGGGTGTGGGGTCGCTCAGAGCTGGGAAAGACCCAAACCCTTGTGTTGCCCTGAGGGCAGGGGTTGGATTAGGGTGCTGGAAGCCTCCTGCCACCACGCGTGCAGGGGTAGGTTGGTTATTCCAGACACTATGTGAGCAGTCAGTAATACCTTCAGTTCCTTGCTTGCTGCAGCTGTCCGGTCAGAGAGGCTCAGCAGGCTGCTGCAGCAGAGGCTGCAGGCGGGCAGCATCCCTGTTGGCCCACAGCATTTGGCTGATGAGGTACTCGCTCTCCTCGCCCACCTCTGCCAGGCGGAGATCAAACTCAGTCAGGGTCTGGTTACACCTGAGCCCTTCCAGCAGCTGCTTCCCACCATCCTGCAGCAGGTGAGAAAGAGCCCGTCAGTGACAAAAGTGCCTAAGGCTTCTCCCAAGCCTGAAACGTAGCTCACTAGAGAGGGACGTGGAAGGAGTGTAGCCTTATGCAGCACACAGTGATATGACACATGCTAATGACTCCCTCTGGGTATCGTGTCAGGAGTCCTCAAGCTCAGGCTGGGTAATGGCATGGGCAGAGGATAACCTGTGAGGAGTCTGCGCTGCCCTGCCCCTCAGTCTCCAGCACCCTGCTGGGTAGGGATGAGCAGCAGTGGGATTAGATGCATTGCTCATCTCCCTTGGGTGCCATTTCCTGGGCAGGGCTGGCTTTTGTGGGGGAACATCTCACACAATTAATGCTGCATGGGTCAGACAATGCAATGCAGATTCATAAAATCATAAAATGGCTTGAGTTGGAAGAGATCTTGAAGCCTATCCAGTTCCAACCCCTGCCATGGGCAGGGCTGCTACCCACCAGCCCAGGGCCCAATCCAACCTGGCCTTAAGTACCTCCAGGGATGGGCACCCACAACCTCTCTGGGCAGCCTGCTCCAAACTGTTCCAATGTAGACAGCTGTAGGGAGGCAGCACACCTTGCATTTCCTTCCCTTGCCTGAAGCATTGTCTTCAGGTATGCAGCAATCTGACATTTGTTTCCCACAGCTCATCTCTTTCAGGTGCCCAACACATGCCCTGACCCCATCTCTGCTGTGCAGGCAGTCCTCTCCTCAGCACGTTGACTGTTAGACCTTTTGCTAAAGGACAGAACGTGAGAAAAGAGAGAAGCCTCTTCTTAAAGGAATACAGAGGTCAGAATTTGATGCATTCCTCACAGAGATTCCCATTTCCCTATATATAAAATAAAGATAAAAACACTTCACAAGTGGGTTCTGAAAAAGCTCATCAAATGGAAGATGCTAACCACAAAGATTATTATTTACAAAGCAAAAACCCTTCTAATCCTTTCCATCCCATGTCCCTTTGTATCGTTACACTCCAGCAGTTTTCCATGTCCAGAACAAAAGAAAATGAGATCTCACAAAAGGTTTTCTGCCATCAAATCCTTTTAAAGCCATTGTCAAACATAATGATGCCGATATTCCTGCCAGCAGGGACAGCTGGTCTTGCTGTCTCTTTATTGTGACAGTGAGAAAAATTGAAGCAGCACAGAAAGTTTGAGAACCGGCATGATTGAATTTAGCTGTCCAGTTTCAGATTTCTGAAGTTCATCAGCAGAAGAGAAATGGTCTGCTTTGTGGGCATGGTGCACACTGCAGCTCTTAGGGATACAGTAGGATCTGCAGCAGCTCCTCTGCCTGCAAAATGAGAGCGTATGGCTCAGGAGCCACATATAAGAATCCAGATGTGACACTTCAGAGCTACTGCACTGCTCCAGAGCTGTGGGGTGAATTAAAGGGGCTCAACAACAGAGTCAGTTTTCTAACAATCTCCTCTGAGTGTGTAATGGACAGGAGAGATTCTGGGAAGGGTGAAACTGTGCTCTGCTGCGTGCCAGAGGGTACAGCAGATTCAAAGTGCAAATGAGGGTACAAATGAGGTGCTCATCTCGTGCCATCTATCGTTTTCATCTACTCCCACGTGGGTAAACAGACTGTGATTTTCCCAAGCACACAGCCTGGATTTTGGTTTCTCATGGGGAAAGCCCCTCTGCCCAGAAGCCAAAGCCAGCTCCTGCCTGAGAGCCCCATAAAAACATGTTGTGAGTAATACAAATGTGTGTCACCATGGAAAACCTCCATCCTCCTGTCTACTGTTGTCTATTCACTGCTTCCAGCTGATTGTTATCACAGCAAGACTGCAGATAGCAAGGGATACATTCGCCCCATGGCTTGGAGGAAGATCAGGCTCAGCATTTGCTTTGCAACAGAATCTCAGGATGGATGAGGATGGTAGGGACCTATAGAGGTCACCCGGTCCAACCCTCTGCTTAAGCAGGGTCCCCATGAGCTTGCCCAGGACCACATTCAGACATCAAACCATCATCCATGCAGGATGCCAAGCTGCCCGGAGAAAGTGCTTCTCTTACCGGCCCGATGGGGTTGCACGAGAAGTTGATACATGTCAGGGTGGAGTTGTGAGTGAGGACCTGGGAGAAAACCACAGCTGTCGGCTCTGCCAGGCTGTTGCCTCCCAGGTGGAGGGACTTCAGGGTGGTGTTGGTCAGCAGAGCACAGCCCATAGCCTCCCCGCCCTCGTCCTCCACGTGGTTGAGGCGCAGATTCAGGGAGGTCAGGGTGCAGTTCTTTGCCAGCGCTTGGGCCAGAGCCTGGGCACCCTCATTACAGATCTGGTTGTTACACAGATGGAGGATTTCTAACTTGCTGCAGTTGATCAGCTTGCTGACAGCTCGTGCCCCCTTGTCTCTGATGAGGTTGTGGGATAAGTCCAGCTCCACCAAGGAGGGGTGATCCAGCAAGTTGCGGACCAGCAGCCTGGTCTTGTCATCATCCACGTTGCTGCGTGTCAGCTTGAAAATCTGAGGGTAAAGGACAGAAAAACAACCAGTGCTTTGGGATGGCCTTTGCACAACCCCTCGAGCCCCTGGATCAGCAGAGATAGGATTCACTTCCCTTTAAAAAGGTCAGGGTGTGACAGCAAGCAAAACTTGCCCCTGGGTTTCTTCCTCTAGGCAATTTCAAGATTGAGCTGAGGAAGACAGGTTCATTTTGGGATATGTTACCTTCAAGTTGTGACACATCTTCACGGCAGCAGCCAGGTTGCAGCAGTCCTGGTAGGTGAACTTAAAGAGGTTCCACTCAAAGTTCATGCCACAATCCTTCACTCCGTAAGTAAGATTAAGCTCTTCAAGGAGAGGGAGAGCAGGAACGAGGGCTCCCAGGTCATAGTGATGAATGCAGACCTCACCAAACCCCAAATCACTCCCTGAATCAGAAAGGTCATCTGTCTCTTCCTTTTGATCCTCCTGCACTGGTGGCAGGAACTGATCAACCTCCAGTTTCTGCACATAGTCTCTGCAGAGCGGGATGAGCTCCAGGACCTGGTCAGGGTCTGTGGTGTTGGGGACAAAGCATTTCAGGATGTTTTCCAGGTGACGTTCAAAGAACATCCGCTTCCAGCTGCCTCCATGGTTGGAGACGTCACACACTTGCCAGCGGTCGGTGCAGCACCTCTTCCAGTAGCCCTCATCACTTACAAGGTTGGCAGTGACAGTGAGTGGAAGGCCTGTGGGAAGCCTGGCCAGCACCTTCCTTTGGTCCTCAGGTGGAAGACGATCTAAAACAGGGTTGTCTGGAGGGAACGGAGAGGAGGAGAGGTTGGTCTGGGCTGTGGAACTAGGGGTGGCCCTGCAGTTCTGCCTAGGCCCCCTGCTGATGCTGATTCACCTCTCAGTATCCGGCAGATGGTGCAGGGAGCTAAGCTGGCAAAAAATTACTCTTTTTTTCTTTTTTTGTGCATGTATGTAGTTACAGTCCCAGCATGGATACATCGTTAGTCCTGTCTTTGATCCTTGTTGCTGCTCTACTGAGTGATGAGTTGTCCCTTTCTTTTCCCTCTCCCAGGCAGTTCCAGATGAGACGTGCTTTTTATATTATACTATGCTTCATCTACGCACCTGCTTCAAAAGCACATTTGCTGCCTGAGGATAGAACTTGTCACGTCCCCACCAAGGGCTGTGGAGGAAGCCTGAAGCTGTGAGCACATGTATTCTGAGATGGAAGTATTTCTGCATCTCTTTATAAGCACTTGGCACGATGGGGCTGCATCCTTGTTTGCTGCTGTAATGCATGACCCAGGAACCAGCGACTTCAGAGCCCTGCTTGCAGCCAAGCTGAGTCCAGCAGGAAAAAGAAGCCACAGGACAAGGTTAGGGTAGAGTCACGTCCTGGATAGCAGCCCGGAAGACGAAAGCCATCCCTGTAGCATACAAGTACACACTTAGCAACTAAGCAGTTTGTCTAACTAGCTGCCTGAGGAGATATTTTTCCCCATCTGCTCCTTTGGCAGGGCTGGGTACCACACTGCGCCTTCCAGCTGCCTATACCTGCCTCGCTGCCCCTCCGCTTCCCAAAAAACCAGCACTCCCCACCATGCTTACTTGTGAAATTCTGGACGATGTGCTGCAGGCAGAGCTCAGTGAGTGGGGGGACAGTGATGAGGCACCACTCGGGATCCTCGACGATGCGGTGCATGCAGTACGAGTCAGCCATGAGCCTGCTTTGGGAGGGACGCAGAGAGGGGATGGCTCTGCCCCTGCCACCTGCTGCCTGCTGCATCCTGCTCAGGGCCCGCTTCTCCTTCAGCAGAAGCACAAGGAAAATGGCTCGGGATCAGGAAAACACCACTGTGCTTTCCAGCCAGGCTGCCTGATTAAGAAAAAGGCAACCTTAGATGGAGGCCGGCCATAACGGTGCTCTGCTTGTGCTATTTCATCATACAGTTTCAGCCAGCCCTTCTGCTTCTTTGCTTGCACCTGGAGCACCACAACAAAACAGCTTATCTTTATGCAGTACCTTGCACAAAGAGGTCTTTAGATACTGCATGGAATGAACAGGTTATAAGGTGGCATTAATTCAAATGTTGTTGAAGAGGATGGACAAGAATTGATTGCTTGCTGTCTGTTCCAGAAAAGAAATA